GGGATCCCACCACCTGCCAGCCAGCCAAGGAGGGCCTCTGACCGATCAACCCCCAGGGAGAGAGAGGACCCAAGGACGGTAGACCGAAGTCAATACCTCCGGGTGGGAGAGGAGAGAGGAGCCAGACTCCCCTAGGCCGAGGCCAAAGGCAGGAGTGGGCAGGAGGGAGGAGAATGTTTCGCGATGAAACAAAAAACTCACGATAAAAACCGTGGTGTTGAGTTTTCAATCGCCGGAGGTGTAGCGGAGACGGAGGATGCTTTAAAGCTAGAGAGACACCTCGATATTTATATTCCATGTCTGGGTAGTCACAGGCTACATCTAATCCCTCACTGACTATGTATCTGCCATACTAACAATTCAGTGTCTTTAGAGTATGAACTCCATTTGACCATGAAAACTAACTTCCCTGCTCTCTTTCTGAGTGGAGTGATCAGTTCTGTTAAAGGACTTATCAATAACTCTTCTATGCATATAGCTTAGAGTGGATAACAAAGATAACCAACTCAACTAGTGAGTTGTTATTAATCAATTGTCAACTAGTTTTCCAGATGACTCTAGTTTATATGAGCTAAAGGGGGCATGCATATTACTTCTTGATATGGTATATAGACTTGCAGAGGTCATAGCTCCATAACTAATTGACTAATCTGAACTAACTAAGTCTTATCTTATAGAGTAGAGCTTCTTCTATGTTATCCAGTGAAAACCCCTCAGTTGCATGCCTCATATCTCCATGGAGCAGGTTACATAGATGTCTTATCATTCTGTACGATAATATGATATCATCACGATAACTATGGCAGGGCCTGTAGTCCAACACCTGACCTTATGCATTTAGTCATGTGCTGCACCGATTACACTTCTATGTGTAACATCTAGTATCTTCTCTATAGGAAGTAGAAGCTTAAAGATGGAAATATAAGATTTATATTAATAAGGCTCTAGTTGTTATTGGTAGTAGTAGATTAGAAAAAGTATGATAATATTCAGAAGCAAATTCTACTACCAACTCTACTATTTAGCTGTAGTCTTCTATTCTAAGTACTTCTCAGTACCTGTTCAGATTGCTATAAGATATGGTAGTGATTTATTTCTAGTACTTACTCACTAAGAAATTTAAGGCAAGTACAAGTGATTTTGAAAAGGTAGAAATAACTACTACTTAATATAGTGATAAAATCCTAAAGTTCTAGTTTGTACACTTTGTATACAGCTTGGCTGAAGAGTCTAAATATAATAAAACTAGTAAGAATAGTTTACATATTCATACTTCTATTTATATCAATAATTGTAGGAGAGAATATAGAGTAATTAGAAGCAGTGTTCGCAAGCGGCCAGCCCGGCCGGCCTGGGTTTCTTTGGTGGCCGGCCGGGCCGGACTGTAGGTCATAGTCCGGCTTTACTGGCCTATCTGACCGGGCCTGGCCGGACTGTAAATATCTGCAGGCTTTCATCTAGATATCTGCGGGCATCTTCAGATATCTGCGGTACACGGACGCAATATTTACTGGTCAGGTGACATATGCCAAAAGCCTACCGGTGCCCCCAGGCGTCCATCCATGTAGCCTACAGGCTTCACCAAAGCCTGGCCTATAAACCCCAGGTTAGTTTCACTTTGACCTGGCCGGGGCGGACTGTGCATCCGCAGGCTATCTGCAGGCCGGCCTGGCCGCCTGCGAATGCTGATTGGTGCTGTGTCATCATCATACTTGTAAGCTGTGGTACCTCACGGTACAGTATCATACAGATTCATACTAGTACCGCATTGGATGGATGGATGGATGGATGGACTACTAACAAGTTGACTAAGCCGCCACTCAACTTGTTCGCTACGGGCGTGAGCGGATGGATTGTGGTATGGTATGATATTTGGTGTACAAGTACCGGTATCATATGTATTATGTGATATTATACAGTATTACCCTCCTGTCACGGGCAGCCGTACTGTATACTATACTGCGGGAAGAAAGAAGAAAAGAAAAAAAAACAAGTGAGCGGCTATTTGAATCGTCGTGAGAAGGTATAATATCTCCTTTTTTTTAAAAAAAAAAGTTTTTATCTATTTCGCGAATGCAAATGCCGAGGGGCCACTGGCTGTGGTAAGTATGGTACGGTGCAGTACCAGTACCATGTGATAACATAGCATTTCCTGGGAAACGATAGGGTGGTGGGGAAAAGGAATGAATGCCAGATGGGAATACTTGACCACATGGTTGGATACGGTGCCGTAGTACGCTCATGGTCACTCTCTATCTATCTGTCTATCTATCTACAGCGTCGCGGCTAAGATACGGTTATGGTGTGTGAGTGTCTGCATATATATAATACTGTAAATTTATTTCGTGTAGGGTTGTTATTCCTTGGCATTCATACTCACGTACTAGGTTAAGTTTGTGAGTTAGTCTACTCGAGTATTATGCGAGTGTGATACTTTGTGAGTGGAACCAACGCAAGCGGACCGGACCATTCACCGCTTTCGTCCCCCCCCCCCAACCACCCATATTGATTGCCTGCCTGCATACCAATGCCCATCTCCACAGAGTGAGTGAGTGAGTGAGTCTGCATGATCCGTGAGTTCGTGTTGGGAAGCCTGCCCCAGGGTTTCTCATTCAGCTCCTCCATATACCGCACCGCATATCGATCTGTTCCTTTGCGTTGTCGGAATTTTGTTTTGTGCTGTAACTTACTGTGCAACCGGTGGTAGGAAGATACCAATGCAGGACCCTGAGGGGAGGGAGGGGGCTCAACTTGGTCTACGGTACTCATCCATCCATCATTCCGTACCTGCCCCATCTGGATGAGATCGGGAATGGGGATGACATGCAATGTGGCGGGATTGGCGCCGTTGTGGATCATTATCTATTTTTTTTTCTTTTTTCTTTTCTTTCTTCTACAGGTATGATGTGTTGCGCGATGTTTTAACTTTTACTCTAGAATGGGGGGAGGAAGAAAATTAAAAATTAATAGTTATAGGGGCGGGGGGAGGGGTGATTCGGCTCGATCTCCCTCTTTCTCCGTATTCGTGATGTGCAGGATCGGTAATGCGCCTATCATACCCGTTTTCCCATCCGCAGTCAACCACCGGAGTACTCGAGTATAGTGCAGTACAGTCCAGTCCAGTCCAGCGCAGAGTGGTACAGGACAGGGAGGATTGGGGAAACTGGCAATGTAATGTGGTGTTCCCCATTCTTAGGGATATAAGGGTGGGTGGGGGGGTGGGATGTGCACTTTTTTTTCTTTTTCTTTTTCTTCGTTTTTATATCTATCCTTTTCTTTCTTCTTTTTTAGTACCCCGATTTATAGGTTTTTTTATTATTTTTATTTTTATTTTTATTTTGCAAAAGACGGCGCCATAGTATCGATACAAATACCACTGAGCGGAAGAAAGGGAAAAGAGAAAGAAAGAAGAATGGGGCTACATGCTAGCGGGACGAACGACCCGAAGGAGGTTCGGAATTGGAGGATTCATCTTTTGGGTTTGTTCGCCTGGGAGGTATCAAAAGGAAGGGTCTGTCCCTGTGCTGATGATTATGGTTGGATTCATAGCTTTCGCTGTTTCCATGAGCGCTATGGCTAGTGAGTGTGTCCTCTTGTCTCTGTCTTTCGGCACGGCGACTGCGCAAACTGATGCTCGGGGCGCGCAGTCGGGTATGATTCGAGCTTTATCGGTGGGACACAGGCTTTAGTCGCGTTCAAGGTATGATATCATGTCTATACTTGTACATTATCCTGCCCGCTCTGTGAATAACTCGGAGGATTGCACTAATATTCATATCTCCCTTCAAGCGCGACTTTGGCCTTAATGTTCAAAGTCAACATGTTCGTGATACTCTTGCTGGTGGGTGCCCCCTTCCTCATCCCTCTGGATGCACGGGAGAACAGGGAAGAAAAAAAAAAGCCTGACTCGGCGCAGGAAACATCGTGTCAACATTCCAAGCTGGAACCTTCTTTGGCTCCCTCCTGACATTCCCCATTGCTGAAAGATACGGACGTAAGAAGGGGATGGTGTTGTCTTCGATTGTGTTTTGCATTGGCGCTACGATAATGGTTTGTCCGCTCTTCGTCCGAGGTACGGTTGCGGTATATATGTGAGGAAGTGAGGGTAAAGCATGGGAGCTCACTCGTTGGTACTCAAGACTTCCTCTGACGGAAGGTTGTCCATGATCTATGCTGGGAGGGCCATCACTGGGCTGGGGATTGGATGCGCTTCTCTTATCGTTCGTGAGTGCTCGCCATCTGGGTCAAAGATCCGATTGGGGGCGGCAATTGATGAATGAAAACAGCGGTCTATATAGCCGAGACTTCCCCACCGAGTATTCGCGGTCGTCTAATCGGTATATTCGAAATCTTGAGTCAGGGTGGTGGCATGCTAGTTCGTCCCCTCCTCCTCCTGGATACCTCCGCATCTGCTTGCTCTTCTAACACTTTAGAAGGGCTTCTGGATAAACTACATAGTCGACAGAACCGTTGACCCCATCGGCCCCACCCAATGGCTCATCCCAACAGCCCTGCAACTAGTCCCTGGCGCTCTCCTCTTCGCCGCGTCCCTCCTGGCCCCCGAATCCCCGCGTTGGCTCTGCCAGAAGGGCGATTGGGACCGAGCGAGGATCAATCTGACCTTCCTCCGCATGCTGCCCAGGGACCACCAATTCATAAAGGAGGAGTTGTCGGGCATCAAGGAGCAAATCGAATTTGAAGCTTCAAAAAGCGGGGCGGAGACGTTCAAGGGCAAGTGAGTATTTGTCCCATATCAACCCTGCGGGAAAGGGGAGAAGGGTGCTGACGTTTTACAGGGTCAAGGAGATGTGCTCTAAGGGGAATAGAAACAGGATTGGAATCGGCCTTATTCTTATGGCTTGTCAGAACCTTACTGGTGTGAACGTTTGTTCCCCCCCCCTTGTGCCCCCCGCTTTAGTTTCTCACTAACGATCACATCGCAGATCATAACATACTACTCACCCCGCATCTTTGAGACCCTCGGCATAAGGGGTACTTCAACAAAGCTCTTCGCGACTGGCTTCTACGGCGTCGCAAAGACGCTCGGTATGATCATATTCTCCGTCTGGCTTGTGGAGCGCCTTGGCCGCCGCAAGGGTCTTATCTACGGCGCCTTCGTCGGTAGTTTACCCATGTATGCTTTCCCTTGTTCGAGTGATTTACTATGATGGTGTTGCTGACAATCACAAAGGTGGTATATCGGTGGTTACGTCATGAAGGCAGACCCAGCACGGGTTGCGGCGGCCGGGCAGTATTCCAGGAATGGGTGGGGGTATTTGGCGATGGTTTGCGTATATCTTTATGGATTTGTAGGCTTCTCCCGGGACGGTAACAAGGGTGTATGGGTTCATACTGATGATGATGCGCATAGATTTACTGCATGACCTGGCAAGGAATCACCTGGGTCTACTGGTACGTACCCCAACCCCCGCTCTTTAAGGAAATCCATAGCACAAACTAACTTCTACCCAGCTCCGAAATCTTCCCCATCGGAATCCGCATGATCTGGTACTCCCCTACCCGTTACCCGTTGCCCCCCCCCCCAGACCGTCACTAACACCCCACAAGCGTAGCAATTACAACTGCCGATCAATGGCTCTGGTCCTTCATCGTCTCACGCACGACACCTTACATGATAACCTCCCTCGGCTATGGCACCTACTTCTTCTTCGCCTCTCTGATGGTACTGATGGGCATATGGTCCTTCCTCTTCGTCCCGGAGACGAAGGGCCTCACGCTCGAGGACATGGATAGGCTATTCGGTGTGCCGGAGAGGAACAGCGACGGAATCAACGGGAAAACTTTCGACGGCGGGGAGAAGGGCCGGACGGAGCTTGAGATGGTGAAGGGCTGAACTACTCGAGTATATAAATTGGTCTGATATGGGATGTACAGTATATATATATATCGGAAATGACCATGTCTTTACGAGATTATGAAGTCACGAATCTGATAAAAAGGTGATGAGAAAATTACCGTTTTCCGCTTTTCATCTCTTCTCGCTCTTGCTCTTCCCCCCCCCCGTCGGGAAGGGAAGGTGTTCCCGGAATGGTGCTCGTGGTGCAGCACTTGTCTTTTCCATAGAGCGCTACACACGGCGCGTCACTATATCGGATTACGGTACTGTAGTATCACATCATGCCTCATCTCGCTCGGGCATACCCTATCCATAGAGTTATCCATCTCACTTATGATATTCATCCATACCATCACAAATAATCCCCCTTTCCCGTACTATTGCGTATCCATACTATTGCCTATCGGCTCCTGGAAGGGAAGGTAAGGGGAATAATGGTAATAATAGTGCGATCAGGATGACAGGTTGGTCGAATATATCAAATAAAATAAAAAAACAATCCTAACGAGAATTTTCTTTTTTCGGGAATGCCGTGATACTACTTCATTAAATTTTCATTTCATTTCGCCGTTGCCCGCTAGCTAGGCTAGGTGAGGTTTCTTACGTTCGATCATAAAAAATCACTTGCCCAACCACCCCCCCCCCCCCCGTTGCTTGGTGCAGTACAGTACAGTACTGTACAGTACATATATTGACCGCTCTTTCTGTGGGTTGGTTTGGGTAGAGTTGTTGGTGTGTGCTGTGCTCTATCATACTACAGCGCCGTGTATGTTGTGCTGTATGCTATGCTATGCTATGCTCCTGCGCTGCTCCTGCTCTCGTACGATACAAGTATGGCAGCATGAGTACAGTACCCTATCATAACAAGCGAGAATTGGAAAATGTGGGGTTTCGTATGATACGGTATCGTGGTATCATAGGCTATTAGGTTGGAACGTGAACCTATAGTACCCATGGGCTATACTTCGCCCCCGAGTTATCGGTGTTTATCGCCACGCTAAAGGTGTAGGAGGTAATTAGATGTGCTCTAGCTGATTGCTCAACAAAGACTAATATCATACATACATACACCAGTAACGCCTCCACAACAGAGCCGGGAAAAACCAAACTCTGGTCAGAAACCACCCGATCGGTCGAACTCACTGTCCTCTTCTGGGATATGATATCAAGCTATGGCAAGAGCGTAGTAAGAATGTGAACCCCCAACTCCCCTCACTGGCCAACATGCAAGTGGAGTTTTTTTTTCCCCCCCACGGGAGTTAATTAATGGGGACGATACCTACGGCGTTCATCCGAGGATCGGAGCAGGGCCGACTTCAAGCCTGGGGGTTGATTAGGATGTCAGATTTGTCATTGTGGACCGGTGTCGTGCCACCCAACGGGCCTGGGGGCGTTTTTGGCTTTTCCCGGGCGTGTAGATCTCTCCCGGCTTCTGGTAAAGGGTCCGGAGATTTGGAGAAGTATGATATGGCAGCTCGTTGGGTAAACTTGTCAATCCCCCCCTCCGCGGGTGAAGGGAGAGGAAGATAAGTGGAAAGGAAAAGAGGGAGGAAAGGGCAGAGCAGAGGTGAATATCTAACGGCCTATCTAGCAACTCTTTCCCTCCTTTCTTTCCTTCAATTAGTTCATCCGGAAAAGGAGGAAGTAGCAGCAGGAGCAGTGGTCAGGATCACGCCCTATGACTATCTCAATTCAATCTACTATACACTCTCCGAGCAATTGCGCAACCTAGTATCATGGCTCGGCACCAAACACTCCTTCCTCCTCCCCCCACTTCTACATCACCCCTATGCTAAAAACCCCATAAGTTACGTGCTTTCTTGCTTGCTCCGAAGATTCATTTATCTCGCATGCACAACACTCCAATACACCGCACTCATTCAAAGAGAACACCGAAGAAAGCGGCACGGCCGGTCCAAAAAATCTTGAACCCAGGGTCCCGCAGAAGATCAGCAAGGCTTCTCCTCACCCCACGCAGACTTCTCGAGGGAATTGCGGGGATACTCGGAAAAAAAGGAAAAGGGAATAAAAATGAACAGGAAGGACCATAGTGACAATGGGGAGAGAGCACTGTCATGTCACGAGTTATCACTCGGGAGCACAATTTGGTAGCGCTGGTGGGAAAAACGCATATGGAAAAAAACGGAAAAAATGGAGCATGTACTTTCAAACCAAGGCATCGTACAGTTGCCCGGAAACTAGTTCTTATGGCGGTTGCACAACGTGCTTGCATCTGAGGCATCGTGCTATACACAATCCCTCCAAATTTTTTATCCCCCAAAAACATCGTGTCCGGGGCTGTCCACATTTGAGGTGGAAGTATGGGGTCGGCCAGTTAAGGCGTGCACCTCTCGTATAAACTGCTGCCTCGACATGACACGAATAATCCCCGAAAATTTGTGACATCCGATGCCTTGCTGCACTACCGCACAGCAATTCAAGTGAAAAAACCCTCCACATCCCAACTGCCAACCTCAAATGGATAGAATCCTATAATCCAAACAACACTTAAAGGCGCCACGATCTTTTCGGTGGAAAGTAAAATTCGCATTCTTCATCATCAGACAAGCTCCAGTCCAAACCCCGCATTCTCTCTAAACTACAATATAATCGCCAAGCACACATGAGCCGCGCCAGGGACGGGTAATGGGGAATTCCGAGAGCCATTGCCGCCATTTATCCACCTAACCAACGTTTAAGAGCATGGCAAAGTACCCTTCCCGGTTCTAGGATAATAATTTGCATCAACTGGGTGCCGATTCCCAGGAGCTTCGCGAGTGCCCACATTGCCCATGCCATGAACAAAATATGCCCAATCTTCATCAGAAAGAGAGACTCATCCCTTGAAAGCATCACCTCGGGGACTTGGTGCAAAAGTGGCACAAATCCCGCCATACCCTTTCTAAGAGCATGCACCTGGGGATTTCTACGAGTCCTCCCCAAAACGACCTCCGCTTGTCCATCTTCAGAAACGCCTTCTCTGCCTCCACCATGCCGGTCACCGTCCGCCGATCTTGCGTCACTTGGGGAATATGGGCTTCCTGGGAGCGTCGATGGCATCCGCGCGGCATAATCCCTTGCAAATCGCGTTAATTCTCTATGACCGATAAAGCTCCCTGTGGGAGAGCCTGGGTCACTCGACGGGCTTAGCGCATTTCTTCTCGGAATGTTTGGATGGGCGTATCTGAAAGGATCACGTGGTTTGGTATCCCAGCACGCAGGAACTCCTACATTCGATACAGCCCCAAGTTCCGGGATTCCGACACCGTTAGTGCTCACAGGCAGGGAATCTGGGGCGCGGTCCTCTGGAGTGTTTGTGTCTTTCGTGGGTTGTGGAAAGAGTTCCGAATCTTGACGGAGGTGATGCGGCCTCATTGACTGTTCGCTGAACTGGGGGAGCTCGTCTGGTGAAATGGTCGCCGCGCTCCGAAGAAATGGAAGCGTGAATTGGGGGTTGGGAATGAGTGCTCCGTCGGTGGGAGGGCGCATGAATTTGAGAAGAGGGGATGTGGAGGTGGAGATGGAGATGTGTAGCCTCTCTCGGATGGTCCCCACTTCTCCTTCCGGTTCCCATGAGTGCAGCCGTTGGGACACTGATGGTATAAATATCTGACCCTGCTCTGGGACCTCTTCGATAAGACCTTGGGTTCGAGTTTGGCAATTCTGGTTGAGTGCTTTCAGCGTGTTGAGGGGGCTTTGGTCCGGCAGACGCTGGCGCTGCTGCTGGGGCTTTCCCTGGGAGACATAGCTTTTCCACGGCCGACTTTGACAGCTTCCAGGGCCTCCAACTTCCGGGCCGCCTGCCCCTAAAAAAGGCCCTTTTCCTTTTCCTTTTCCTTTCGGGGTAGCAGCATCATTCTCTAGGGCTTCGACTTCCTTAGCAGTCTTTCCGGGATTCGTGAAGGGCTGTGGCTCCTTAGGTGATGGCATTTTTTCCAGTTCGTTCTTCTCCTTCGGCTCCTCGATATAGCAATATTCCTTCAGCGAAGCCTCCAAACCGGGCACTCCCTTGACCCTGTGAGTCCTATTCGGTGGATCGGACCGGCCGCCGGCGTCGACGCTGTTAGCCGAAGAGTGGCTACGAGAGTTGGCCGCGGTATCAGTCGGAGTGGGCACCCCGGTAAATACATTCGAATGTTTGGGCAATTTATCCTCGTTCTTAGCAGGCGGTGGTGGCGGTAAAGGTGTCGAGGTGCCGGAGTTGGGAATGGAGTCAATCCCCGGAACTAAGGACTCAGCACTCGTTCTGACGACTAACGGGGTCTTCTCCCCCTCTTCCTTCTGCGGATGCTTTTGAGATTTGGAAGGGCCGAAAAAACTAGAGCCTTCGTCAAACCTATTGAGTCTAGCCCGAAAGCTATCGAAAAACCCAGTCCCCTGGAATCGGCTCATCATACCCTTGCGTGATGGCATTGAGAGAGGGTTTGTCGAACGGTTTCCCTGAAGGCGGGGATCAAGGTTAAATACGATTGCCATAGGATCATCGCTCATGATACCATCATAACCAGGAATAGGGATAGGTGGGAGAGGTGGTGGTAGGGGTCTTCTCAAACTCAGCTGGGGCGATAATGGGGAGCTTGAATGGGGAGGAGGGGACTCCATGGTGAGACCCTCAGCAATGGATGGCTGGGTATAGCAATAATGATAATAATCTCGGGTTGGGTAACAGATGGGAATTGAATAAGACTATCACGGGGCGCTGGGAAAACTGGAATGTGAAGGTGATGAATATAAAAAGTTGAGGGACGGGGAGGTTGTAAAACTCCTAGAGCAGGATCAGGGCTGGGAAGTTTGCAACTTTGATATACGCATAGAATGCTTCCGCATTGCGTCGCCGCTTGCTACAGATCAAACCAGGACTCGCCCGCCGGCTTCCTAAGCCCAAGTCAGCTCTGGAATACACACTCGACCCGAGAATGCTGCAATCCCACGCACCGTGAAGGGGCACCCAACCTCGCGGCCCCATTATGATGCCGTAACCCCTCTGCAAACTTGGCGTGATACACAGCTCCCCTCTGCACCGATTGCGAGGGGAGAAGCAGTCATGACGATGATGGCAAAACCTGGTGCGCCGGGATAAAATAAAATACTTTCCAAATGAGAAACGGAAAAGGACTAACTTAGGCCCCTCTTGACCCACCTGCGCAGTTTGACATAGTACAGTACACTGCATGGGTAACGAACGTCCTTCGACGAACCCCTCCCCCCTCTCCGGTGGTTGAATCTTCACAAGTGCAATCGAAAACAACCCAGTTATCCCTGGGCTCGGGAACCCCCCGTGGAGTGTACGAGTAGAACGTAACAAGATTGGGGAACACACATGGCAAGGTTGCGAAATGTCACTCGGGCTTGATCAGAAGCATGGAATACTGATTATCAAGAATGTGCATGTTGGAATGCAACCCCTGCCACCCCCATAACCCGCCACAGTACCGGCAGTTCCCGCCCCCTTTAGCGAGAACGGAATGATAATCGATAAACTATAAACGATAACACGAACACTACCGCACCGGTACCGTATATGATACTTATCACCTGGCATCCACAGTGCTGAGCGCAGCAGGCAAAGTAACAGGGTGACAGCATATCACTATCGTATCAGATCACAAGAGCTATTTCTTCGTGAATCACTTGGCACATCTTGAGTCTACAGATTCGGGACTCCCCCCCTCCCCCTCAGATTGAAACTCTGAAAGAAAATCGCTGCCAAAAATCTCGCCATCTTATCGGTATAACCCTCACCACTCAGTGATTTCCTTCTCAAACCCCCTATTGGTAGCCGGAACTTTAGCCGCCGGAATTTTGACTGGCCCATCGCCCCTCTTACGCCTAGCCAAGTACCCGCTACCATCCAGCCAGGGGTACTCGAGGGTTCGCTGCTTCTCAAACTCATTGATCTTATCATCAATCAAGAGAGTCAATCCAATATCATCGAGCCCATTAACCAGGCAATGTTTACGGAATTCCTCGACATCAAACTTAGCCAGCTCGTTTCCATCATCACCCTTGATAACTTGATTGGGCAAATCGACCTCAACTTCTTTTCCAGCCTCGGCCACCTTGGCAATCTTATCCAGCACCGCCGGGTCTTCGATGACGACGGGGAGCATTCCATTCTTGAACGTATTATTGAAAAAAATGTCAGCAAACGATGGGGCAATGATACATTTGATACCGAAATCAAGGAGAGCCCATGGCGCGTGCTCTCTGCTGCTGCCACATCCGAAATTTGGGCCAGTGACAACAAGAACCTTAGCGTTACGGTATGGCTCCTTGTTAAGAACAAAGTTTGGATTTTCGGTTCCGTCGGGGTTGAATCGGAGAGCAAAGAATAGAGCAGATCCCAAACCAGTTCGCTTGATGGTTTTAAGAAATTGTTTGGGGATAATAGCGTCGGTGTCGATGTTCGCCATTGGGAGAGGGGCCGCAATACCCTTCAAGGTGAGAAACTTTGGCATGCCAATTACCTCAGCAGAAGGGCCCGAGATATCCTCGCGAGTGGAAGCACTAGCACTGGTAGTTCCTTCGTCAATTGGAATATCATCAATCCGATCCAGGTCCTCATCGGTGACTGGGTCCGGGTGCTCTGCCTCAATTGCGGTCCTCGGCACGCCCTCCGCCTTCTCAGGTTCAGCACCTCCGAGAGCAAACGCCCTCACATCTGCCAACCTCCCCGAAATTGCTGCCGAAGCCGCCATTGCTGGAGACATCAAATGAGTACGACCGCCCGCGCCCTGCCTACCCTCAAAGTTACGATTGCTTGTACTAGCGCAGCGTTCCTGTGGGGACAGAATATCCGGGTTCATGCCCAAACACATGCTACACCCAGCTTCCCTCCACTCGAAACCAGCATCAAGAAAAATCTTGTCCAATCCCTCTCTCTCAGCCTGCTTCTTGATAAGTCCAGAACCGGGAACGACCATTGCTCTCATAATATTGGGCGCAACTTTCCTGCCCTTCGCGATCTTGGCTGCTGCACGAAGATCCTCAATGCGGGAATTGGTGCAAGAGCCAATGAAAACCTTGTCCACTGTGATTTCTTGCATAGGAGTATTAGGCGCCAAACCCATGTATTCCAATGCACGAATAACACGTTGTCTAGCAACAGAATCACCAAATTCGGAAGGATCGGGAACTTTGCCGGTGATGGGAACAACGTCTTGAGGAGATGTACCCCATGAGACGGTAGGCGCAACGTCCCTAGCGTCGACATAGACTTCAATATCCCACGTAGCCTCGGGGTCAGATTTGAGGGTTCTCCAGTACTTCAGCGCGCTGTACCACTCCGGCGAGTCGTATCTAGGAGCAAGAGGCTTTCCTCTAAGGTATTCGAAAGTCGTTTCGTCCGGAGCAATCAATCCCGCCCTGGCGCCACCCTCGATCGACATGTTGCACATGGACATTCTCGCCTCCATACTCAAGGACCTGATTGTGGACCCTGTGAATTCAATAACTGCACCAGTTCCACCTGCGGTGCCAATCTTCCCAATAATGTGCAGAATGATATCCTTGCTAGTGACACCAGGCAAAAGCGCACCATTGACTTCGATTTTCATATTCTTCGACTTTTGGTTGATAAGGGTTTGAGTAGCGAGAACATGTTCGACCTCAGAAGTTCCGATACCAAAGGCAAGAGCGCCGAAAGCACCGTGTGTTGATGTGTGAGAATCACCACAGACAACCGTAGTTCCAGGAAGAGTGAAACCCTGCTCCGGTCCAACGATGTGAACAATTCCTTGACGACTGTCGCCGAGGCCAAAATAAGTTAACCCGAACGCTTTGACGTTATCCTCGAGCGTCAAACACTGTATACGGGAGTCTTCTTCCTCAATAAAGGTCTTTGCGCTTTTATAGTTTGCACGGCTTGATGTCGGAATGTTCTAGTTACCGATGTCAGCAAATCAAATCCAAGACGGAGAATGGTCAAGGCAACCGGCATGAACGTACATGGTCGACAGTGGCCAAAGTGCAATCAGGTCTCCTAACAATTCTGCCCGCATTTCTCAGACCTTCAAAAGCTTGCTACTCATCATAACAATTGTTAGCCATGCACAACCCAAGAAGGCAAAGGGAGAAAGAAAAGTTGTGACAATGGATGTCAAACTAACAGGTGATGTGACTTCGTGAACAAGATGTCTACAAGCGCAAAGGATGTTAGCCCGTCCCCTTGCTCGCAGGAAATGCAGGGATGCACCTATCAATATAAATCGTCTGGCCATCCACAAGATGGTGGGCGTATATCTTGTCATAAAGGGTCGTAGGTCCTTTCTCCTGAACAGAAGGCATGACGGCAATGAGGATGCAATATGTAGCAGAGATTGAAGGAGCTCACTGCAACCGGCGGATGTAAGGCGTGTGCAAGGAATATAATGTATAGATGATGAGAGGGGAGGGGAGGGGGAGGGGAAGAGAGGGTGAAAGCGGAGGAGAGGAATAGAGAAAGAGGGGGGCCCGTGAAGGAGATACCAGTATTTCACAAACTCGGAGATGGGGCCACATGTGGGGTGAGAAGGGTTTAGACTACCGGTAGACTAAGTCATGACTCTGATCCCCTCCTCTGTGCAAAACAATTTTTTCCTTTTTTTTCTCTTTACTCGTAGATCCAAGCTAGTCCCACCGTAATAGGTTACGTGGGTTACAGATGGTACCGTATCATCTGGTTTGCAGTATAGTTTACCCTTCGCACTCTCGATAGCGGTATCGTAGGTAAATTTAATTTGTCCCGGAAGGGGCGGGAGGGCCAGATACTCGAGCAGTGCTCGAGTGCTCAAGTAAATTTACCGGTACCGGTACGAGTGCCGTACTCGTACTCGAATGATAATATTATTATACCTTGACCACCCGTTTGTGATGTTTTTTGCGTTGCCCCTCATTCGCCAGCCATTTGCCAAGACGGCACTGCATGGAGGGGTCAGCACCCTTTTTCCCTGTCTATTCCCCCAATCTAATCCTTCACCCGAAGCAGTGCGAGATACCCCACCATGCACTCCGATAGCCTAACCGCAGCCACAGCTAGCGATACAAGTAGAATCCACCTCGAATCTCGCGGAGCACCAACAACATGCTCCCGATACGGCATTAAACTGTTCGGGAATACGGTATCTAACCACTATGTCCTGACCGTTAAGCAAAAGCTCTCTTTCCCTAAACAAGCCTCACCGTTGTCCTACCCATACAAACTTCTAAAGCCCTCTATAGCACGGACCGGAAGACCAAAAACAAAATCGCCCAGGAAATACATTCCATTTGTGGGTGTTCTTGTCCTGGCCCTCCTCTGATTACATCCGCAGACCACGTTCACTACTTTGCGGTCCTTGATGAGGCGACAGCTCAAGACTACGGTACCCGAGCTACCGGTATCTAAATAGTGATGAGGTTCAATGAGAAATAGGAGATAGGTGGCTATAAAAATGGGGATGTTTTCCGCCGTTCAATCAATATCACCACTCTCGTTCCTGAATTTCTCCCCATGATACCTTGATATAATATCAAACCAAGAGACCCCCCCCCCACCAGAACCAAACTAGCCTCACAGTCTGCTTGACTGGCTTTCAGTCAGAGCCACACTGAATGACATATCAGATTCTCCATTGCTCTACCTTGCCCCACAAACCATATCGGACGAAACAACCTCGCGCCTAACAAAAACAACAGATTGTTCAATAGTTGTTTGTCAGCTCGCCACTTTATCATATAGGTTTTGGATTCCACCGGACCCTTGCCCGCCCTCCTCGTGGCTTTCACTTCGGGCCCGCTCATCATTCTCTACATCATTCTGGCCCGAGTCATATGCAACCGGCTCGTATCCAGGTAGGCCTGTGTTTTATCTTCTTTTGCCTCCTCATATACAGATACCGGAACATGGTTGAGTCCGACGAAGCCTCAGGAAGAGCATTAATGGATGAATCGGCGAAAGTGCGGTCACAATGGGCTCAATACTCAGGGTTGAGACTTCTAGAAAAGATTGAAGGTTCCTGGAGATAATTAAAACCGGCATTGGGGCTTGAGCGGCACAAGAAGCCACTGACTACCCCTATCGGTACAGTAGTGGTAATCAATGAAGGGCACCGGTAGACTACACCCTATGGACGGATGAGATACTGTACCCAGATCCCTTGCCTTCCCTAGGCAGTAGACCTATGCAGTGGTTAAACAACCTTTCTATTATGATATACATAAAACGCTTCATATTTGACCTTTTCTTTTGCGGGGCAAAGTTTCCCGGCCACAGCATAGAGCCGCCACACACGGAAAGCAGGGAATCTGCATGTCACATCGGCCCATGGGATAGTGGGCTTTTATTCTCGAGGCCGCTCTCAGGGTGTAATGATCAAAAGTCTCGGACACTTTATAAGCTTGAGAAAGCGATACTTTGCAATGGAAAGGATATCGTATGATAACCTCAATGACTAGATCCCAGGTTATGTAATTACCAGTATGCGGTTCTCGTACAATGATAAGTCGGTTAGCCATCGAACTACCGGTAAGCCTATCTCCACTGTTGCAGTACTCGAGTAGAGCGTGAAGAGGCCCAACTTTGAACAGCGCGAGACCGCATACGACATGAACATGATACATCCGAGTAGACCACCAGGAATTCATAATCTGAACAGTTCTTACTAGCCTTGTCCAAATCATTGCACCCCTAAACAATTGCTTTTATCCACATACCCACACATCCGCACGCCCACACATTCGTTGGTTAGTCCATTCACCCATCCACTCATACAGGTGATGGCGACACAAGGGGCAGTATTGCAGTATTGCAGTATCGAATTGTGAATATTGGAGTCGCTGAGCAAGGAGGTACTGGTAGCCGTGGTGGAATTGCATGCTTCCTTTGCTCTCCCTCCAGAAGATGGTATCGTACTCATTTTAAATCTGACGTTGGCGATGGCTTGGTTGCATACCGGTAGATCCTGGGCGAGCCCCACCCTGCCTAAAGTTAAGTACTCGAGTACGGTCCGATAGCGAACCGACGTAGCAAAACCTCCTACAACAATACTTATTCCTTACCCGACCCTCGAGACCGGCCCAGGCACAGTGCCATCTCACCTCTACAACACAGAAATGAGCTCCGATCGCTCTGACGCCGATGACGAGGAGCCCCCAGCTCTAGTTTCCACTGAGATTTCCCTCAACCTAGAAGGCCTTCAGCTGTCAAAAGCACCGATTACGATCGTCACGGGATACTTGGGAGCTGGGAGTGCGTGTGAAACCTCTTCCCCGTGTTCCGAGACTCTGTTGTTCATGCTAATTGCGACAGAAACCACCCTCTTAAACTATATCCTTACCGAGCAGCATTCAAAGAAGATCGCAGTCATTTTAAATGGTGGGTAGTCTCCTGCTTACGTGGTTATTTGTTCCACTCCGTTGGTCTATCGTATCCGAGGTGTTGCTAATATTGCTCGTTTAGAATTTGGAAACTGTGAGCCCATTCCCTACTGCCCCACTAGGGACATACCGTTGCGAGTCAAGCTTGGGGCATTTCGTTAATGACGAAGACAATTCGATCGGGTGGTTTTTGAGTAGCAAGTGATATCGAAAAATCTCTAACCGTTCAGAGGGATGGTCAGCAAGTTGAAGAATGGCTGGAGCTCGCAAATGGCTGTAAGCACACCCAAAACCTCATCCTACTCCCTGAGCATGGCATCTGAGGCATCACACAGGTATTTGCTGCTCAGTAAAGTAGGCCTTACCCCTGCCCCCTTAATGGTATCTACGGTGTTCATCAACTTGGGTTGTAGGGACATGGGAGTAGCGGCTATTGAAAAACTCATGGAGCGCCGAGGCAAGTTTGATTACATACTTCTAGAAACAACCGGGCTCGCAGACCCTGGGAATATAGCACCTATGTTTTGGCTAGACGAAGGCCTTCAATCAACGATATTTCTGGATGGAATTGTTACCCTTGTCGATGCAGCAAATATTGTTCGTACCCTCGAGGACCAGGAGGCATCCTCGAAGGACGACGAAACCGGGGCTGTGGTGACTACCGCACACCTACAGATCTCCCATGCGGACGTGGTGGTGATAAACAAGGCAGACCTAGTTACTCAGGAAGAGATCGAAGTTATTAAGCAGAGGATAGCGGGAATGAACGGATTAGCAAGAATCATCGTCACGGAGAGAGGGAAAGTGGATAATCTTGGAGAATGGCTTTTGGATTTGAGGGCCTATGAAAACGTCGGGGAGTTGAAAACACCAGTTAGAACTCGGTTAGATGAGGTATGCCGACCATTACCTGCTATCAACCTCATTTAACGCCCTGCTGACTTCTATTAAAAAAATTCGAGACCATTTCTACTGTTTCTCTTGAGCTCCCCGAACTGGAGGAAGGGATGCTGGATTCATTAGACGCTTGGATCAGGTCTCTGTTATGGGAAGCGGAAGTGCCGGGTTCGTCGAAAAAACCGGGCGATCGAGACTCGAGAAAACAACCGATTCTCGATATCCACAGATTGAAAGGGAGGGTTATCACGAAAACGGGAAAGGTCCTGCTGATACAGGGCGTAAGGGAAACCTTTGAGATATTTGACGCACCGGATCAGAACTCAGCAATGAAAGCCGAAGGAAAGTTGGTTCTGATTGGGAGGGGATTAAGAGATGTGGATGTGAAGGAGAGTCTGGAGTGGTTCTTGTCTCGCGGAAGAGAGAGCTGAAATGAACGAAGCAAAGTGTTTGCTGTTGTCCCATCGTGATTCAGGCACCACAAGTGAACTACCGTAAGTCAAGTGGTGTTGTGCAACATCCATCTGAACAATTAAAAATTAGGCTCATACTCGGGGCAACATGTCAAATGTGTGGTTGACCCACCTCAACTTTTTATGAACCTTTAAATACGGGTCCGGTGCATGATATGATGTACTAGTACAGTGCGCTTAAAGTTGTTCGAGCAGCTACCGTACACTTATACCGGTATTACTTTTCCTTCTTTTTTTTTTTTTTTTTCGGTTTACGAGGGTCTCGGGCAGTGTGACACTCAGGGTGATGTGTATGGCCATCGAGCAGCGGATCTTGCAGGGGCATGGTTGCGGGTGCGGGGCTCGTCGCCCAACGAGTCTGGTGAAAGTAATGGAGAGAGTATGATACAGTGCGGCACTTTATCGTGCAAATACCATGCGCGATGCCCTACGAGTACAGGCTACGGCTATTCGTACAGGTGCCTTATCATATCATACTAAACCCCCAAGAGGCAGGAAGGGATATAAGGGCAAGGTGATTGAAGGAGAGTGAGGTTGAGCAAAATCATGTTTCAATACCGGTATTGACCAATTTATTGAACGAATCTCATGTCCCAGTAATTGATTGGGTTGCCACGAACTGAGCCCTCCGGGGACTGAGTTTTTATCGATTCTCACAGCACCACCACCACCTCCTGCACATTTCGTGCATGCCCCTCATGACACTTATTGTAACTTTCGCTGTTTCCTTTTGCCTCTGCAGTCCCGCACTGCCCATCGAATCCGGCTGTTTGTGTGTTCCTGTACTCGAGTAGGCTCTATGGTAGTGCAACGGTAATAACTGGAATAGTGAGAAGTTAAATATCATATGTACAATTTTAATTTTTTCCCCCCAAACAATTGCTCGAGGGTACACAGAGGATAAATACAAGGGAGCTGGCTTATTATATCCACAGGGCGAGAGAGTATGGCTGACTGCTCGATAAAAAAAAACCAATACCGCCAGGGATCACTATGCCCGCTCCCAGAGCGCCAACTCACACCACCAAAGCTCAGGCCAGTCGGCCGAAAGTCTCGCAAAGGGTTGAAGTACTGTACTGGGCAGTACGGTTGTCCGGTGTTCGAGTAAGCGTGCGTCCGGAATGAGTGATATTCAAGATAGAGCGACTGGTTCGAAGACACCGGCACCATATGGTGATCCGCGGTTCTATCGGCTGGCATAGAATGGTTAACGGGGTAACCAAGGGCATGGCAAGCATCCTATTCCAAGTCGCTCAATCTTTGGTCCAGTTCCGTACGGTACAGTACCGCTCAGAATTGTAAAATTATGGTGTCGGGTTGTCGCTTGCAGGCAGTCGACCGCCGCCAAACTCCTCTAACCAACCCACCACCCCCTTCGTCTACTCACTCCCCGCGGTCTCGGTCTCCTCTGTCTCTCTCCCCTCTCTCCCTCCCTCTCGGTGTCTGTCTGTATCCACCTGTTCGGTTTCGTTCGTCACTCCATTTCCCTCATTCCCACCATTCTTCCCCCTTCAGTCGGTCGGCCGGCCCTCCTCCACCCCAAATCAAAACCCAGAAATTCGAGCTGGCCAGAGAGAACCAATCAGGTAAGCTCATTTGACCCCTCTGTTGCGTATCCCTCTCATTGTCCCTCCGTCTGCTTGCCAACGCCCACTTTGTTGATGTAGCCTACGTTGTACGTGCCTGGCCTCCCCTACAGTTGTGTCCGGCAACTCATTTCGCCCCGCAAGTCCTGCTCCAGATAACCCACAGTGGGGAGATCGGGGAAATCCCGGACGATAGAATAGAGGGATAGGAGAAATCAGGAACCCAACTGCCCTACCCCAAAGTATGTATCCACCAAGTCTCCATGGAACATGATTGTCACCGAAAGGATGGCTCTAAAAAATCAAAAGCCCACAGATCCCCTCTGAGTCCTCAAGTTGCCCGTGTCCTGCTCAATTTGCCTTCAAGGAGCCTTGTGGCCGTCACAGTTTCTTAACTAAGCCGACCCACCCTCTAACGCCGCACGCACTGCAACCATTTCCCCCCTCTCAGCCGCCTCGCGCCTGGCTACTTATCTTTCATCAGGCCAACTTACTACCACCTCTCCTCTCCCATCCACCCCTCTTTCGTGGCTTCACCTGCCCACGCGCAACGTACCCTCGCCTGATATAGGTGCGGCTTGAGATTTCTTTGGCCTTTCCCTTCAAACGTTTACCATCTGCCGACCCTGCTACGACCAACCACCTCTCACCGGTTTCGATTTATTTCCCCGAATTCAGGCAAGGGTTGCTACAAGACTTCAATTGCAGGCTATCACCATAGACTACCCTTTACGTACAAACCAGCTATCACTTACAAACCGCCCACCCTCTGGTCTTCCGGAACACTGCACCAATGACAAATAGTGGAGTCGCGACAGACGATCTAGGGGCCAAGTCCCCCTCGAGGACACCTCCTCAGTCGATTGCCCGGGGAAGTGACAAGGACGATAACAACGTTACCCACGGACAAGATATGGACTCACTTGAGCCCACACACAAGGAGACGGAAATTGCGGATGATGGAGACTCCGGGTCTCTCTCGGGATCTAGTGACAACGAGCAAGTTCGGGAAAGGCTTAAAAAAACCTATATTGCGAATGTGCTGCCCGAGTCTGCAGCTGGTAGCGAGAGTCAGAGGGAGGATGGAGAACACAAGGCTACTGACAGTGCTGCTGTCTCCGAAACCGACCAAGAGATGGGGGAAGAAAGACCTCGACGGCCAAGGAAGCGAAGCATTGAGGAAACGGATCCCAGCGAAGATGTCAATATGGGGAATGAGGGGCATGGGAGGGAGGCAGACTCAAGGCACAGGGTTCATGAGAGAAAGAGGAGCAGAGAAATCTCGGATGATGATATGGCAAGGGCTGCCAGAGCTCTCAACAGGGTGAAAACGCCACCAACCCATCCGGAAGAGGACGAGATTATGGGCCATAACGATGGCCTACACTCCGCAAGCTCGGCCATGGCTAGCCCACGGAAGCTAGAGCGAAAGAGGAGCAGAAATAGGTTCGATGAGGATGATAAGGACAAAGATGCCGATCGTAGGAAAAAGATGGTGGCAGAACGTAAGGAGGAGAGGGATTCCGGGACGAATGCGGATACTGCTACGCCATCAAATGAGCTGACGAACGGCAAAGCCCTCGGCAAGCCAGAGGTCGCCAGAATGAGTTCTACCGAAGCTGACCCAAAACCTGAATCTAAGGTATTTATATGTCACAGGGTCAGTCCTACAGTATTAGCCTACTTGTACTGACATATCACCAAAGATTTTAGCTGGCTGTGGGTTCGGCAACACATCCTCCAAATCACCCTTCGCAACATCCTCCGCAGGCTCTAAACCATTGTTCGGGGGCTCGGGGTCATCTGATAAGTTCAAAAAGTCAGCTTTCGGGACAATGTCCGGCTCAGCAGCATCTCCCTTCGCTACCCTTGGGTCTGCACCTCACCCATCGAGCCCATTTGGTGTCTTAGGCAGTACCACCACAAATCCCTCGGCATTTTCATCTGGCTTTGGGAACTCCTATGGTCCCTCTGGATTCGGGTCTCTGGGTGGCAAAGCTGGGGATGTTATTTCCTCGGCTCCTAAGCTCTCAGGACCTCTCGGTGGGACAGCAGCAAGGCCGTTCGGAGCTCCGGACGACGACGATGAGAAGACGGATGACGAAAATGGTGAGGGAAGTGGTGTAGATTTGGAGGCGCATAAGGAGGCCTCTTCCGGAAAGGAGACTTTCACCCAACAAGAAAGTAGGTCCATTATTCAGCGCCCTCGTATCACAATGCCCCCGTTCGTTACCTTGTTACGTTTACCCATGGTTACGGGCCCCTGTTCAATACTGACTCGTAAGCAGTTGCTACTGGAGAGGAGGGTGAAATCACAGTTTTCAAATGTCCGGGAAAAATCTTTTCATTTGATAAGGAAAACAAAGTTTGGAAGGAGCGGGGAAAGGGTACCTTCAAACTCAACACCAAAGGCTCAAAGCCTTCTACTTCGGCGAGCGCATTTGGATTGGATGATGCCCCGTCCGTCTCTGTGACCGAGGGGAAGAAGAGTGCGAGGATACTTATGAGAACCGACGGGACTTACACTTTGATTCTTAATGTGCCCATCTTCAAAGGAATGATATTTGGGGACCATGCCGGAAACAAACCCTCGGGCAACCAGTTCCTTCTTCTGATTCCAAATTCAAGCGGAGGCTTAGACTCTATGACATTAAAGGTATCCCCAGTCCCTTGAGCATTTGCTAATGCCCTCTCTGATTCGCTCTATGAATAGCTTAAATCGGCTGCACACGCAAAAGAGCTTTATGACCACGTGAGAAATCTACACGAAGAGCTTTTCTCGTGAGATCATTACACCATCACTTCGTCAAAGACATGACATGGAGTCGCCAGTTCCACAAACTATACGACTTGCATATCACGCTCTTCGAGGATCGTATGATGGGAGAGTTAAGCCCTTCAATTTTAGCTATGTGTAGTTGTTTTTATTTTTTCGTTCTACCCTTTATTCCCCTTGTTTCATCTCTTTCTTTTTTAACTCTTCTCCTCGAGTGGGAAAACTTTCTTTTTATATCGCTTCCTGATAGTTGTTTTTTACCCCTTGTATACCTCATCTGAGTATGAGTAGTACATACTTTCACCACTGCTACTTTCTCTTGTCGAGGGAGAGATATAGAGGGAGAGGGGAGAGGAAGGTACTATGGTGGAGTTGGTCAGGTTAACGGAAAGGTCTGTCGGGGTGGGATTCTCACCGGTTTATTTCTATACCATTCTCGTATGATTTCTTTTTTCATCTTCATCCTTCTCTTCACCCTCTAGTCCCCTCATCTCCCTGACTCTTTCTCCCTTTCTCATCTTTGCCCAGAGACTTATGGTGCCAACTCGATTCCCATCCTCCATTCATCCGTCCGTCCACCCATCCATTCCATACGGACCGGAGCCGAGTTCATGTGTTTGGGTAGTCCCGGGGTGTTTTAATCTTACCGTGCCCACCTATTCTTTTTAACTTCTTCCTTCGGTTCCCTGCTCTGCTTTTCCTACCTCCCACTTGCATATCGTTTAAATATTTCTCCTTATTTTTCTTCTCCCTTCCTTCTAAAAAGGGACCCCACCAGGGGAGGAGGCGGATTTGCTCTTGTTAGAATCATGCGCTTGCTTGCTTGGCTTTACCTGGTCTCGGTGAGTTGGGCTAGGGATTAAAAAGTGAATAAAAAATAAAAAGTAAAAGAAAAGGAGGGGGGGGGGCTCCATCGCGCGGGAGGTGGAATGGCTGGGGGATCTTGAACGGAAGTTTTTCCCCACAAATATTGGGGTGGTATTGTTGTCATTGAGAAAGCATTTATAAATCTTGTCTCCCCCCTTTTCCTTTGCTGCTCTCCTCCGGACCATTTCTTTCCTTTATCTCTAAACCGAATATAACCACTTGTATAGCCTAGCCTGCGCTTTTTTTTTCTCCCCTACGATAACTAGTAATCCGCATGCATACATCCCCTTTTATGTTATCCTTTGTGCTCGTTTTTCGGCTTTCTTCGTTTCCCCTCGATTTCCTAGCTACTTGGTTCACTTTACCTCGCGTGGGTGTTTTGGTGAGGCGAGGTGAGGCAGGGTGAATAACTTAGAATAGTAATTCTTGTTCAAAAGAAAAAGAAAAAGGGAAAGGAAAAAGGTTAACGTGGCGGGTTTTGTAGTACCGTACAGTCTAATTAGTGGGTGGATAGATGGATCGGTTGAGTACGGTTGGGTTCCCGAATGCCTGATCACAGGGTGTCACTCGGGCTGGGTAGTTGTGGGTTGAAGTACGGTGTCATACAAGTAGTGGCGCGCCGGGTTGGGTGCGTTCGGCCCCAGGGTCGGAGGAAAGGTTTATATGCAAGCCTTTTGTGTTGGCGGATCTTGGCGTGTGTGTGTGTGTGTGTGTGGCGCCTTTTTTGCACACAAATTTGTCGGATCCACTCGGAGCATAGCACCCCAACAAGACTTTTTCCGACCCCGGGGGGTAGATGCACCCATTGCTAATTCCACAAGAGAAGTGTGGAGTCTTGGAAGCTGGTGTGCGGAGCATGTGGGTTGCCCGGAGGGCTTTTCCCTTCCTCGCTTTCTTTTGATCACCGGTATTAGAGCCATGATACGCGCTAGTCCGAAATGACGGGAAAGTATCTGTGGTCATGCGGTTTCCTTTGTCGGCGGGGGGTTATCGGATCGTGTTGGATAGCCTCATCCTGCAAGCTACAAGTTGTGGTGAGGTGATGTCCGGATGTCCTGGTATCGTAGTATGAGATCTACTAGGATTTCTATGCATGGTATTTGAGGGGGTTGTTTATCCAACCAGGGAAGTCACCGCCCCCGTATACATTTTCTTCCCTCCTTCTCCTATCTGAAGCAACTTACCCCGGTTCGCAATGGACTCTCTCTCTGTGTAGTTTGGCCAGAGGAGAGTATTATGTGCTCTCCTGCCTTGATAATATTATATCAACCGTCTATCATTTTTTTCCTAAAGGGGAGTAGAGAAAAAACCGGGTGTCTGCAGATGGGAATGCACTCCCTGAACGATCCTTGGGGGGTAGGGTATGGTAACATGGGAACTTTGACCTTATATCCTGTCTTACCTGCACTGTATTGAAAATACGCTCTCACTTAAACCAACCGCCGGGCTATTACTACTGCGCCTTAGCTCACTTGGGTCGGTATGGAGAGAGCACAGTAGGTTCTCCTGCCTCTTACCCCTCCTAGCCAATTCTTAGGGGACGTAATTGAGCACAGCCTAAGAGCTGGCCAAACACACCACCGGTACTGTACCTCGTGTGAGCCACTCACCGAGAGATTTTGAACGATAATATATGATCGGGGCATGGAGAGCCTGCTGCACACTTATCATAATACAGCGTAGAGTAATTTTCCCTTTTTTTTTGATAATGGGCGTAACGCGAATGAGCTATAGTAACAACGGCTTGGTTACCCCAAGGCTTAAATTTTAAGCTTTTTCGGTTAGGGTGCTTAAATAGATCAGAACGCTAAGCTCGGATCGAGGTGATGTCGTCACTGTGCATGATCTAGGAACACTATCATTGGCTGCCCCAATTGGAGAGGTACAAAGTGGTCTAACCCAGTGTGATATTTAACTACAATATTACTTCTTCGTCCGTTTGCAAAATAGGTGGGTAGTGAAGGGTCCAGTCTCGCGTGCCCTGTATGAGTGCTCCCATCGTGTTCCTGGATTATGGAGTACACGAAGAGTGTAAACGCGTATATAGCGTGCGCGCCTGGGATTGCGGTGCTCTTCGTGGTGTACTCTCTGTTTTCAGGAGCTGTACTTCTTCTATCATCTCGAGTGTCTTCTAATTGACTCCCTGGTTCTGCTTCCTCAATTGCGTTCCAATCTCTCAAACTTCTTGATCTTGCACTCCAGACCCCACAAAATTTCCACAAACGAAGGAAAGACTATAAGTATGCCTCGGGATACCAGTGTTGCCTCTCCTCCGCCGGCGATCCTTATTTCGAATGGAATGGCAGAAGAAGTGATCGATAGTTGTGGCCTTCCTCCCCATCGAGGAAGCAATACCCCCCCTCCTTCCGCTCCCGCCTCGCACGGCCCTTCGAGTACCAGTGAGCAGAGTACCCATGTAATGGGAGCACCCCCACCAGCTCCAGCCCCTGGGAGACTTGAAGATTTTTTCCATCTCACGGATGAATATCAGGATTCCTGGACAGCCTATGTAGTGAGTAACCTAGTCCCTGGATAACATGTTCACAAGTGGAATCGTTGGTATGAGCATTGACTGTTTTGGATAGTATTTTTGGTTCACCGTTATGTTTGGCATTTCTAGCATTCAGTCCATAACCGGCTGGCTAAAAACACTAGACTTTCAAGGCAGGGGCGTATATGATAGCCAAAATGACTATGGGCCCACCACGAGCACAATAATTTTGTTCCTCTTTGTGATTCTCTGCAGCGTGGTGATCTCTGTGGTATACCTTATCTGCCTCAGAGCTTTCACAAAGCAGACGTTATGGCTCACCTCCACCATCAAGTATGTCGCTACCTAACCCAATCATAACCCAACAACAATAGCTGAGACCTATCGCATATATGTTTTAGTATGTGTGTGGGCCTGGGTGGAGCTATCTACTGCTTTGCAATAGGTGGGAACCTTTCTGGGGCGGGCCACCTCGTCCTTGGAACTTTTTATACGTGCTGTTTTTTGGGCTGGAAAACCCGCCTCCCTTATTCGATAACGATGGTGGAGAAAACGATGGATATTTCAAAGAAGTTTGGTCATACCCTCAAAATCTCAGCTACCGGTGGAGCCATAGCTGTTGGGTTCACGATGTGGTTTGCCACAACGTTAGTTGCCGTATGCATCAGTTATACACCAGACCCCAGAAACCCAGCCTGTGAGAATACTAACGGGCAATCATGTTCCATGACTAATCTCTTCTGGAGGCTAAATCATGCTATGTTTGGTGGATACTGGATTTCGGAGGTGATCAAAAACAGTATCCATGTTCTTGTTTCTAGTGGTAAGCTTTCAAATTTTCTCTTTTCTTTTCATATAGCCCGGAGAGTTCCAGGCTGACTTCCCTCTAGTATTTGGGTCATGGTAGGTGAAATAAAAGCATCAGAGGTGTGACTCAAGTGGCAGTTCTGCCACTAACTTGAGCAGGTATTTCCTCTCATCTGAGATGGGAGAGATGCCAACGCAGTCCGCTCTTTTGGCTGGCAAGAGAGCGATCTGGTACTCCTTTGGCTCCATAGTTTACGGGTCATTGGCTTCATCAATTGTCCAGCTCCTCCACCAAGCATCTTCGATTTGCAGAGAAAATGATCGTCCAGGGCGGTTTTCACGCATCACCTGTGTTTTAGCATGGCCTGGGAGCCGGCTCCTCCAATCTTTTAACGTAAAGGCTTCTCCATCACTTTCCAATCTTGTATCGGGGCCAATGTTATTGACTCTGAGTCGGAGAAGCACTACGGCTATTCTCGCATGGCTTTCGAAAGCCTAGATTATACCACGAGTGTAAAAAATACCCTGAGGATGCTAACAGAAAACGAGATCGACACACTAATCAATAATAACTTGGTATGGCTCTTTCATTCTTTTAAACAGGTCAAGAGACGGTTGGATAATTCCATGACATAGGTCGATCCGGTTTTGACTGCAGGCGCCGTATTCTCGGGATATCTTTGCGCCTCCTTTTCATATCTATATTTGACAGGCACAGACCCTACCTACAATAAAAACGGGAACTTCACTTTCCCCGTTGTAACAGTATCCTTCTGGATTGGTCTGCAAATTTTCAATATCTCTCTGGTCTCTGTAAAGGTGTGATATGATGACCTCCATTCCTCTCTCTCCTTCAAGTATAAGCAACGGCTGTTCTCGGTTTTAATGCTGGGATTTTCAAATAGTCTGGCGTAACCACAATTTTTGTTTCGATGGCAACCCATCCAGACATACTCAGGAGGAACCATCGGCTATTCTATCTTGAAATGGTGGGGGCCTACGCGAAGGTTTCAGAAGTGTCCAGCCTTCAGATTGCCGACATCGTTTAGGCCAACACCAATCAGGCCGAGTTTGATCGATTGAAGGGGTTATTATTATTCGCAGCACAAGCACTTTGGGAATGTAGTAGTATCATACTTGTGGTTGCCGCAACGATGCAGTTGCACTATTTTTCATACTTGCGGTGTGAAGCTATACTATACTGCACTGTACGATCGTACTCAGCATACAGGCCGGGCGTTGTGAGAAGAATAATTTGGTCTTCCAAATTTACTTTGCTGTGATATTCGTGCCACCAGAGCCGATAGCTTATCCGCTATTCCTGGGAACTTATCCTGCTCTGGATTACTGAAGCTAGGACACGGGGTCAGTATGATAATAAATGGTATGATAATATATTATCACGATATCATACCCAGAGTGATAGTAGATGTTTAGGGTTAGGGGCTGATTATCTTACAGTGGACCTTAGATCTAAACCCTCAGAACGCCAAGGCAGAGGGAGCCACAAACAATTTTGACAAACTCTGTCCCACCACCGGCGAGCTTAACTCCACATCACACAGACTCCATGGGCAGAATTCCCAACGACAGATTACGAATCGCCCAATCTCCGCCAGAGATGCACAGTACCCAGCCGGCCCCTCCGCGGAGCTCGACATCTCCGAGCTCCACTCATTCGCAAGGCTTTAGCAACACCTACATTCAACGATCACGACCATATCTCACGGATCAACAGATCGAGGAGCGCTCACGAAGGGACTCGCAAACGGAGGCGAAGGAGATCACCGCACGGTTAAATGCCTGCGCCTGGATCATGCAAGTTGGGCATGCCCTGCAGTTGTAGGTTTCTCTCCTTTTCTTGCTCGCTCTCCTGGGAAACATGTCAACATCTAACTCTTGTCGGTCATGGCTGGCGATGCAGTCCTATCCGAACAATGGCTACTGCCATGATACTCTACCATCGGTCGCGGTTATTTTCCCGGAACCCTTACTCTGAGCAGCAGTACGTGGTATGTGTTTGGCTCTGGGATTGCGGCGGGCGGCGCATGGGTGCTGATTAAAAAACGCAGGATGTGGCAGCTGCAGCTCTCTTCGTGGCGTGCAAGATCGAGGATACGTTGAAGAAGTCGAGGGAGATCCTCGCTACTAGTTATAATATGCGGCATCCACAGCTTGAACCGATCAATACTGATTCCTCGGTGGGCTCTGATGTTCCTTTCACCGCTAGCAGTTGGGCGATTATTGATGAGGGGTAGATTTTGGACGACACGGTAAAGCGTATCATCGGGATTGAGCGCGTTATTCTTGAGTCCTCATCTTTTGACTTCCGATACAGACATGCTCAGCCGTTTCTCATCAAATTTGCCAAGAAGTTTGGATGCTCAAAGACACTCACGCAGTTGGCGTGGGATGTATCCGTGGACGTCTACAAGACTCTTTCGCCGTTGAAGGCCACCCCACATATTCTTGCTCTCGCCTCGTTGGATCTTGCGATGAGGTTGGAGGATCAGAGGGTCGATATTGAGTACGAGCGGTTTGAGGCGAGTCGCGAGGTTGTTCTCTGTGGGTTTCCCAACGTTTGGCATATATATGGGATCCGGATGAGAAGCAAAAACTAATACAATTCAAAATAAAAACCAGCCGTGATCGATGACCTCCTGGAGCTATACACCAGCCATAAGGTCCAAACTATCGTCGGGCTGAATTACGATAGCAACGTCTACCTCACCCAGCGCATCCAGCTGAACAAAGAACGAACGCCCTACACAAATGGCCACACAAGCCAGAACGGAACAAGCTCCAATAGTAATAGCAGCCAAAACAATATCAACAATCACTACATCCACCCGAGCCGAGACTTCCTAAACACCTCACCGGGAGAGCCCATCCCACCCGGTGTTGCATCCATCGAGCGCGGAACCTACGGCACCATTCGCTTCATGATCGACCCCTTAAGGGAGAAGACGGAGAAGGAACAAATGAATGGCACGGGCAGATCCAAAGAGTTCACGCCGCCAAACGGAGTGCCCGTTAGTCCTTGGAGCCGGAGATCATAGGAAAGATGTGATTTTCTTTATTATTATTCCTTATTCTGTTGAAGAGAAGAAGAGAAGGAGAAATGAAAACTCGTTCCCTTTTGGCATTAGATTTTAGGAAATAATGATTGAGCATCATAACACTAAGGTTCGTTTGTGCATATATTGTTTTGTCTTGTTTTCTTGTTTGCTCACTTCACAAGACATTCTGGAAATTCTTTCCTTGTATGATAATGATGGCTATGGGAGGGGCACAGGCATTTGTGTTGGCTCTACCATACATTTTTTGTGTGTATTTGTGTATCGGAAATCGGCGGTCATCATAGGGAACAAGAGGTTTGGTTGTTGGATGGATGGCCGGGGGATGACAAAAGGTTACTCTACCGGTATACAGTAAAAATCCTTGGAATTCGGAATCTCCATTCACTCTGCTAACCTCGTGACTAAGAGACAAGTATTCCTACATATCGTGGGCTGATGTCGTGGCTTGCAGGGGTATTCGATATATATACAGTACACGGTATCATGCCCTGGCCGTGCGATGAACGTCACCACCGTGCACGGGTATTAGGTAATGAGTGATACCATATGATGCACCCCCCCGTCCATCCAGCCATCCCATGATCGGTTGTGCGGGACCCTCGGGCCGGAGGTAGCGGGTGGGGGTGAGCGATGGACACTACTATTGTAATATAATATACCTAAACTCTGGTATGGACGGAAATAGTGGAAGAAAAGATTGAGCAAGAAACAGATAGATGGACAGACAGGCGGACAGTCACTGGATAGTTATTCGGATACTCGAGTATGATATATGTAATATATATTATATATTTGTACTGTTACAGCCTATAGACCACAAACAACCCGGAGTGGACTTTTAGTCCACGGTACAGCTAAAACACTTGACGCATCACTTTGCAACTTACGGTATCCAACATGAAGGCCTCCAGCCGGCAGCCCGCTCACCAATAATTTAAACCAGACGTCACGGGCGAACGGGCTAGGTTATAATACAGAGTATGATACCAGTACCATACCCGTAGAGCGCAGTAAGTCACTGCGCGGTACTTGTAATAATTAAAAATTCGGGCATAACGTACTGTACCGGCACTGCTTTCTATCATAGTTTCCACAGTCATGTGTATGGTGGGGGTTCTCTTTCCTATCATAACTTAATAGTTTCTGCTATTGATCGATATATCATACCGGTATTATTATACGGCAATCCCTAATTCCCCGCCGCATGGTTTTTTCCGATTTTTTTTTCTTTTTCTTTTTCGCATCCGTACGAGGACTATTGCACCCGGGTATGGCATGATATCATACATCCCATTGGATCAACCCATCCACGCGGCTTAAAACATGCTCCACCCCACCAAGGAAAGAAAGACCCAAGCAACTAACCACCACCACCACCACCGGGCGATATCACCACTAGCAATACAGGAGGAGGGAAAAAAAGAAAAAAAAAAACAATGTCTCCTACTAAAAGGCTATTGACAATCCCCCTACAAAGACTCCTAATGGGCGCTCCCATAGTTGGGAGAAGAATCGTAGTCGCTCCGGTTCTGCATCTGCAGCCACCTTTCCGCGTTGCACTCCCGCAGTCATCGCTATCGGGGAGGTACTCCACCACCGCCTCTACTACTGCTGCCCAATCGCCAAGTACGAAACTTTACGACTATGAAGCTGTGCCCTTCCCCTCCTTCCCCCCACTCCCTCCCCCCCGATAATTAACCTACCGCAGGTGAAGTCCCTGACGAAAACAAACCCGCCGAAAACCACCCTGATCGACGTCCGTGAGCCTGCGGAATTCGACGCGGGAGCTATACCCACAGCGGTTAATATCCCTATCACTTCATCGCCGGACGCGCTCGCGCTCTCGCCGGAAGAGTTTGAGGATCGGTTTGGGTTTGCGAAGCCGGGGTTGGAGGAGGAGGTTGTGTTTTATTGTAAGGCTGGGATTAGGTGTGCTACTGCGGCCCAGCTTGCGGTTGGGGTTGGGTATCGGCGGGTTGGGGAGTATAGAGGGAGTTGGATTGATTGGGAGAGGAAGGAGAAGGGGGTTTGAGGGCGGCTTAGGTTGCTGGGGGAAGGGAGTGTGGATGTTGGGTGCGATTGGTTGGTGTGTGTGATGGGGATGTGTGGTTTAGGTCATTGGCTATGTGATGCTACGATAGTCGAGGCCATTCCCAACGGTTAGTTCGCATCGCATCCTGCCAAGTTTCCGTATTTCGTTCACTAGCTCGCATTCTGTCATCCGGTCGGGCATAAAGAAAGCAAAGAGAAAACAAAACCCCCAAGTATCACACCCAGGGCCTCGCATGTGCCGAATTATACACAACGGAAGAGCCTATGTCGCCGGAAGATAAACCACCCAGTAAATTTCACCCGACCAGTTTTTACTTTTTTTTTTAGATTCCCTGTATGATAACAAAAAGGAAAGGGGAGAAGAAAAAAAAACTCCAGAACAACCCGTTTAAGCATCAGTAGTAACCCTTCCCTTGGGGTTGGTGACCTTGACGCCCAATGTCTTAGCCTTGGCAATGATCTCGATACGCTTCCGGGATGAAACAGCATGGCCGATCCTAGATACTAGTTAGCTATGTATGCTATAACCGGATTCCGGAGGATTCGTACTCGGCGGCATATGTCTTGTTGTGCATAAGGAGAAGGTCAAGGTCGGAGGTGTTCTGGACGAGGAATGCCTTGTGTCCAGAAGGCATCATGTGGCGGGTCTTCTTGTTAGATCCAAAACCGATCTATAGTCCCCCCAATATACAATCGTCAGATAACGAACTCCGACCATATACTTCAAACTACAATCCTCCCCGAGCTCCCCAACCTTCCTTCCTTCCGAGAGTTTGAACGTACCGAGGGCATGACGGCCTGTCCCTTGAAGCGTCTTCTAACTCTGTTATCGATACCCTTGGGTTTCCTCCATGCCGCCTTGACCGTCTTGTAGCGGTCGCTCTGGTGGCTATCGTTTTCGTGGTAACGTCAGTCTCGTGCTCATTCTGTCCCTTCGCCGTAATCGGGTTCGAATCGCAGAAGCAGGTGGAGGGGGTCCCTTACCGATTGAACCTCTTGGTCCGCTTCTTGACAATCGGGATATGCTTTCTGGCGGCGGCCATCTTAATAGCGGAAAAGAAGAAAAAAATAGTCAGACCAGCACTTTCCAATAAACCGTAAAATCGGCGAGAATTTCCCCCGCACGTCGTGTATGCTCACCTTATCGACAAATCGGAGGTTGGTGGGAAAGGGGTGTTGTTGTCGGTCGGTTGTCGATAGTCGTAAATTGCTGGACAAGCTCTGGGAAATCAACCCACCAAACAATTTTGGTGGGAGTGTTGTGTGCGGATTCAAAAGTGACTGTCTTCTTACCCTACGACAAACCCTGTGACCAGGAGTTTGGGGTCTTGGCGGGGGCAGTGGGTGGGGGGATGTTACTAAGCCCCACTAATGAGAAGAGGTTGCTAGCTGCACGTGCTAGCGCGCGGCCGAGAACAGCCAAAACAAATCCCATAAACATAAAAACAACAAACCCAATCGATCCTTAACCTCCACCCCCCTCCCCCTGCCATTCCCACGACTGACAAACATGAGGGTCGTTGAAATTATTATAGATGCAGGTATCCCCGGATGGAGAGTGCACCATGGTGGCGACTAATGATGTTATTCTAGGGCTTCAAATCCTACGCTGTCCGAACAGTCATTACCGGATGGTGAGTCCCTTTGCCTTGCCCGGAATGTTTTCAAGTTAAATGTACTCGTAGGGATGAGAGTTTCAACTCGATCACCGGCCTCAATGGTAGCGGCAAATCGAACATCTTGGATGCGATATGCTTTGTCCTAGGAATTACAAACATGACAACCGTTCGTGCGCAGAATCTTCAGGTGTGTAACCGCGCCCTCCCTCTAGCTCCCTAAGCCGCTAACTCGGTTACAGGATCTGATTTATAAACGTGGGCAAGCTGGTGTGACGAAAGCGAGTGTTACCATAGTCTTTGATAACTCAGACAAAGCGAAGAGTCCTATAAATTACCAAGATTTTGCACAAATAAGTGTCACTCGGCAGGTATGGTCCTTGACTGATCCTGGAGGCTTTTTGGGAGTGGTGCTGAATCTTCGGGCAGATTGTATTAGGGGGGACGAGCAAATACCTCATCAACGGCTCCAGAACACAGCAACATGTTGTTCAGACATTGTTCCAGAGCGTCCAGCTCAACATCAACAACCCGAATTTCCTTATCATGCAAGGTCGAATCACCAAGGTGCTAAACATGAAGCCTACGGAAATTCTATCGATGATCGAAGAAGCTGCGGGAACCCGAATGTTTGAGGATCGAAGAGACAAGGCATTAAAAACTATGTCAAAGAAGGATAAGAAGGTCGAGGAGATCAACGAACTTCTGAAGGAGGAGATTGAACCCAAGCTGGACAAACTGAAAATGGATAAACGGGCATTCTTGGACTTCCAACAAGCGCAGAGTGATTTAGAACGACTGACGAAGATTGTCGTTGCGCACGACTATCTTAAGAACCAGGCAAGTTTTCTCTCCGTTGAGCCGTAGGATTGGCCCTGACCACCCAATAGGAGAAAGTCAACCGCTCAGCAGCCGATCTAGAAGCGAAGAAGCAGCGCGGGAAAGACATAGACGATTCCGCAAAGCGACTGAAATTCGAAATAGAAAATCTCGCCGAGGATATTAAGAGAGTAAAGCAACAGCGGGAGAGGGAGCTCAGGAAGGGAGGAAAATTTCAGGCGCTTGAGGATGAGGTGAAGGAGATGTCCCACGAAGCTGTTCGACTTACAACTGTCCTCGACCTGAAATCGAGTAGTATAAGTGAGGAGAAAAGGAAGCGGAAGGAGATTGAGAAGAGTGTTAAGGAGATGGAAAAATCGTTGGCGGAGAAGACGAGAATATATGATCAGCTGAAGGAGGGATACGATGTAGCGAAGGCTGAATTCGATGCCCTGAGCGGGGAGGCTGAGAAAAAGGAGGAGCTTCTGCAGACCCTATTGACAGGAGTGGCTTCGAAAGAGGGCCAAGAAAGTGGTTATCAAAATCAGTTGCAAGGTTAGGGAACTGACCCCATCCAAGAGACAGGGGAGCTAACAGCTTTGCAGAGGCAAAGTTGCGAGTTAGCGCAGCGGCAACGGAGCAAGAACAAGCTAAGCTGAAGATATCCCATTTTGAGAAGAGGATCAAAGAAGAGGAGCCAAGGGCAAAGAAGGCCAAGGAGCAGAACGCAACGCTTTACAAGGAGTTGGACGGTCTGCGAGCAGCTGCAAAGAAGCTTGAGGCGGACTTAAACAAGCTTGGATATCAGGGTGGAAAGGAGGAAGACATGCACAAGCAAGAGGCAGCTTTGCAGACCGGGATTAGGGAGCTTCAGGAACAAGCCGATGGCCTGAAGCGGCGAGTCGCTAACATCGATTTCAACTATACTGATCCTGCTCCGAACTTTGACAGATCAAGAGTCAAGGGCTTAGTCGCGCAATTGTTCACTCTTGACGAGGACAAAGCGGAGGCAGGGACTGCTTTGGAGATCACTGCTGGGGGAAGGCTGTACAATGTTGTTGTTGACACACAAGTCACGGGTACCCAGCTGCTGGAGAATGGGCGGTTAAGAAAGCGGGTTACAATCATTCCCCTCAATAAGATTGCAGCATTCAAAGCTTCTGCCGAGGTAACTTAGATTTATGAATATCTATGGCCAGGACCACGCTAACTGCTGATGATAGAAAATTGCGACTGCTAAACGCCTAGCTCCTGGAAAAGTTCACCTGGCCCTCTCACTGATAGGCTATGATGAAGAGATATCTGCGGCGATGGAGTTCGTCTTTGGATCTACACTTATCTGTGCGGATTCCGAGACGGCTAAGACAGTCACATTTGACCCCAATGTTCGGATGAGATCGGTGACTCTTGAGGGTGATGTCTACGATCCTTCCGGAACCTTGTCAGGAGGATCTGCGCCGAACTCTAGTGGAGTTTTGGTTACCCTTCAGAAGCTCAATGGCTTGAATCGGCAAATCGAACAACACCGTACGGAGCTGCTCGAGCTACAACAGATAATGGCCAGAGAGAAAAAGAAGATGGATATGATTAAGAAGGTTAAGCAAGAGCTGGACCTGAAGAATCACGAGATTGGCTTAACGGAGGAGCAGATTAACAGTAATTCTTCATCTAACGTACGGTTCTAGTTTTGCATTGCTCTTTTTTTTCACGAATGGGTGGTAGCTAACTATTTTTGGCAGATCATTCAAGCTGTCGAAGAGATGAAAGAGAACATTGTGCAGTTGAAAAAAGAGATCGCCGAGGCGAAGGCACATCAAGCCCAAGCCAAAACCGATGTGAAGAATATCGAGCGAGATATGAATGAGTTTAAGAATAATAAAGGTGGAAAGCTTGCTGAGCTCCGAACTTCAGTTGAAGCTTTGAAGAAGCAGGTCAGCAAGCAATCGCAGGCTATGAAAGCCATGCAAAAGGAGTATCAGGGCGCACAGCTTGAAAGAGGTAACTCTCAATTCAGGATCTCCTTTCAGTGCATCTCTGATCCCCAGTTTTAGAGCAAGCTGGAGGCGACCTTGCAGCTTCCCGAGAGCAGCTCGAGGAGGTAGATACGGCACTTAAGGCTATGCAAGACGAAGTCGCCGGACTCGAAAAAGAACAGGCCAAGATCAAGGATCTTCATGATGTAGCACTCGCCCAACTCGAAGATGAGCGCGCCAAGCTCACAGGTTTTGACGAAGAGCTTAGAGAGCTTGAGAATGCTACTCGCTCCAAAAACGCGCGTATCACCGAAGATTCTCTAGAAAAGCAAAAGCTTGGCCACGAAATCGAAAGGTTCCACAAAGACCAGCAAACTGCAACGGAGCTGGTAGCTAGAATGGAGCGCGAGCACGAGTGGATCGAAGACGAGAAGGAGCAATTCGGCCGCCCGGGAACACCCTACGACTTCAAGGGCCAAAACATCAGCGAGTGCCGTTCCTCACTCAAGAAACTCACTGAGCGGTCTCAGAACATGAAGAAGAAGATCAATCCCAAGGTTATGAACATGATCGACTCTGTCGAGAAGAAGGAGCAAGCCCTTAAGAACATGCTGCGGACCGTCATCAAGGACAAAAAAAAGATTGAAGATACCATCCTCAGTCTGGACAAGTACAAGAAGGAGGCGCTCGAGAAGACCTGGAAGAAAGTCACGGGAGACTTTGGCCAGATATTCGCGGAACTTCTTCCAGGCAGTTTCGCAAAATTAGAGCCACCGGAGGGAAAAGATGTCTCTGCTGGTCTCGAAGTCAAGGTGTCTCTCGGAAAGGTCTGGAAACAGAGCCTGACGGAATTAAGTGGTGGACAACGGTTAGTCCACTTCTCCCCCCACCCCTCTCATTCGCTAACACGACGGAAAAAAAATGCTAGATCCCTGATAGCCCTCTCCTTGATCATGGCCCTCCTCCAATTCAAGCCAGCCCCCATGTACATCCTCGATGAAGTAGATGCAGCACTGGATCTCTCGCACACCCAGAACATAGGAAGACTAATCAAGACGCGTTTCAAGGGGTCACAATTCATTGTGGTCAGCTTGAAGGACGGCATGTTCCAGAACGCGAATCGCGTGTTTAGGACCAGGTTCGTTGATGGGACTTCGGTCGTCCAGATTATGTAGTGTTAGTTAGCACCACCGGTAGTAGTGGTGGTGGTGGTGTCGTTCTTGGCTTCTTGCGTGCTCGCTTTTTTGTGTTTCAACTTTGTAGAGATTTTATGATTAGTACGATACTGATGGTTTATGGTTTCTATGTTTGGCTCATTTTCTTTTTCCACCTCTTCGGATATTTTGAATGGGTTATGATGAGATTTCCAGGTACAATATGATACGTGGCGGGAATTTTTGTCATGCACTTGCTTTTGGTTAATTTGCTCGCGATAGTTGGACGATATACTCGTAGCGCTGTACTAGGACTGGTAAATCTTACCTTTGGGGAGTAATGTTATAAAAGCTGATAAAGTTGTCTCTTAATTACTACATCACTGAATGCGAGACCCAGGAAGTATCATACAGTACTGTACGAGCGTGCCGGGGACATAACTAAACTGCGATGGATAAGCTCCAAACTGTGGTGGAATTGTACAACTTCCTGCTCTACTGTCTTCCTCAGAGACCTCCCCTCGCCCGAGGTGGGAGCGACAGTTCCTTTTTACCCATTCATACACTTCACGCGTCATCAAGGCAATATTATAAAACAAGATAACTTGATGAAAAAAAAACCCCCGAAAATCAAACTCCCATCCACCAATACCCCCCCCCCCCCAAAAAAAAAAACGCCTTTTAAGAGAGAGAATCGTAATGGAGAATAGAGAGGGGAGAAAAAGAAAAGAAGAAAAAAACTATACAGATGCCCCGGCTAGGTCAACTAGAAAGTTTAGCATGAATCGACCCTTCTATGCCCCAATAGCCAAACACTCATCCAGCAATCCCTTCAACTGCTTCCGATCCTCGAGGGCGGCGCCCTCCCAGTCGCCTGCGTCCACCTCATCGGGAAAGATGATCTCACTCTCAACCTCGTAATCCCTCTCGAACCAGCCCCCGGCCATAATCCTCTTCTGGCTCAGAGGCAGTTGTGCGAGTAGGTTGTCGCCAAGGGTGAGGCTCAGTCTGACATCGTGCATGCTTAATAGCGAGCGTTCGTTTGGGGGGGTCCAGTGACCCTTCGGGTGGAGCTTGCGGTACTTGTCGGTTTGGATGTAGTTGGGGCCGTTAGAGCGGACGCGGGATATGATCGTTGAGAGGACTTCCTTGACGAAAGTCTCTGCTGCCACGTTCATGAAGTTTGCGGCTTCGGGGGTGCAGCCACCAGGAACACCTTCTTCGTAGCAGATTGGGAGCATGCGTTGGCGGATGTTCTCGACGTCTGGGAATTCGCCCGATTCGCTGGAGAGGGCCATTGCGTAGCGGTTTTTGATCTCAGACTCCCAGTCTTCGGAGGGAGAGATGTCAGCCAGTGGTAAGAAAGGATAAGAAGAGGGTGAGGGGTACTTGTCTTAAGGCCAGCACTCATCGGGGGAGGAGCTTCGGGGATCTTGACCTGCTTTGCGAGATGATAATCCTGCAGCATACTGCCGAGCATATCTTCGACATCTCCCAGCTGCTTATCCTCAATAATCACCCCATGAACACCCAGAAGTGGGGTAGAAACAAACCGGCATAGGGACCTCCTTGATCTTCCTCCTCTCTCTCGCCGAAATCGCCATAACCTCCTTCTTCAGCCTCTTCTCATTGACGTCCCCAGCCGGCATCTTTGAAGGCGCGCTTGGCTTATCAGTAGCAGACACCCAGGCTGCAACATCCGTCGGCGGCATGTCCCTTGACGAATTTCCGTACATGGCTAACAACAGTTGGTTGTGCATCCGTATGGTGGGTCCTTTGATGAAGCTTGCGATGCGCGAGGTCAACTCCTCACGGTTGAGGCGGCCTGGCAAACGTAGGGCATATACGTAAGTTATCATTCTCATTACCGTCGCCATACCCCGCCGTGCGCCCTCAAGCGCAGTTTGGTCAGTGTACAGGGGGAAAACAAACCGGTTAAAAAGCCGCCAAGAGCTTCTTTGTATATTAGCCAATTTTCCAAGCCGACTTGAGTCTTGAGGGTTTCATAGAGAGGCTTCTCATCGATGCGGGGTACCACCGGAGGCCCTCGGGGAGCGGCTGGTTTAGCGGTCGTTTTCGTGGCTGTTGAAGCTCCGGTTGATTTCCCAGCGGTTGGTGTGTGCGTGTTTGAGCTTGAGGTCGGACGGCTTGTAGGTGTAGTTGCGTCCATTTTGTGATCCGGTATGATGGAACGTTATCGGTTGGGACAGCGAGATAGAATGGCCAAGTCAGGTTTTAGGAGCGCAGGACCAGGATTGGTGCAGCAAGGTGAGCTGGGGTCGTTTATGGAGGGCGATAGGGTTTTCTGTTTTAGAAAGGAAATACTTCGTGCGTATGTAGCGGGGGGTGTGCACGGTACCGACGGGGAGTGAACGAGGGAAGGCGGAACAAGTAGATTCTAGGAGCTTAAAGCTGGGAATTGAGGTCGAATTAAGGTTTTGTTACCCGGCGGTTGGACATGATGAGATGTGGGGCGGTCTGCGACTCTCCAGCTTCCAAATTGCGGTGTAATTTATCAGGCTCATGCTGTAATATGAGGACGCAGAGAATCATCAGAAACTCTCCATCATAATATTATTATCCAATGAAAAACAGGGCGGATGAGTGAATGAAAGGGAGTGGATCATGGTTAGGCTTCTGTAGAAAAAGTAATATGGAATTTTCCTTTTTTTTTTTTTACGGGAAAACTAAACACCGGTATGATAACACAAGCACAGAACGAACCGCAGTCAGGCCAGTTTATTGGTAATACAGTGCGGTAACAACAGCGTGACGATGGCCAGACAGAGATGCTCTCATACGAGGATGATATTGACAGGAAAACCCCCAAACCTAGTGCCCAAATAAAAGAATCTCGCGCCTAGCAACAAGTCAAAGAGAAAAGAATAGTAATGAAAAGGCGAAGGAAAAGGGGGGAAGACGGCTGTCGCTCAGACAACTCTAACAGGAGATAAAATTGAAGCTTCTTTATGATTATGTTTGCCCCTTCGTAGCAGCTTGCTTTCGATCCATCTCCTCCATCCTACGGCGAGCTGCTAAGATCATTTCATCCCGCTTCTTCTGATGTGCCAGTTGTCTGTCTGATCTGGTTTGGGGAGATTTACCCTTCCCTGACAGGGTGGATGAAGAAGAGGCATCCCCTTCGTGAAGGCGGCCATGGAGGTTGTACCTGGTCATTAAATCTTGGTAACCCCCAACCCGAGAAGACGAAGCTCCCAAGGCGTTGTGGGCAGCTGCACGATGTGTAGTAGCCGCAGGCGCAGGCCTGGTGGCGGAGGAATCTAAAGGAGTAGGGGCCGGTGCTGGAGGCTGACAAAAGCACCAAAGTTAGCTTCTACCCAACAAAGCATCCTCCAAAAGAATCCAATTACCTCGGGAAGTCCTCCAGCTGCTAGAATCTTCTCCGTCGCGATCTCAATGTTCCCACCATTCCGTATGAGCTCGGCTTGTGCGGCGGCTATAGACACTTGGGGGAACATTCCCGTCAAGAGAAGGGACTGCTCTTGTAATCTTCGCTGGTCGACGACTGGCGATCGAGCTGGCGAAACGCTGCTAGGATCCGAAGATTTGAAGAACCATCTGAAAACAAAGTATCCTACCAGGAGACAGGCGGCGACCTGAGGCAAACCGAGACTGTCGGACTGAGACATTTAATCGTTTTACTGGATTGTTTCCGCCGTATGTATAGGAAGTCCGCTAGGCTTTGTGACTTGGCAGTTGGTGGTGGGGTTGAATCCCAAGAGAAGGAGTAGGGAGAGAGAGGGAGGGAGGGGGGAAGGCAAAGGTTGGTTGCAGTTCACAAGTGAAGGAGAGTCTGATTCGTGAACAACAGCGGTGGCGTTACAGCCAAGCTAAGCCTCGATTGATACCCTGCTAGACAAACTCGAAGGCCAATTTAACTCGAGAACTTTCTACCTGATCGGTGACACGTGATATAATCAAGACTTTTTGATTGCTGAGTCATCTTTTTTTTTTTGAAATTAAGATTCCACTCTCCCACCTTTTGCCCTTTTCTGCCCCACCAAGCAAACGGTAAACTCCACAACCTTTTTCTATTTGAGGCGCTCAATTGCCGCACCTACAGCTGTCGGCGGTGAACGGCAATCATGAGCTTCATTCCTCCGGTACTGCCAAGAGCTGCCCGTGCTCTGCGGGCATCTTCAAATCCTATCGCAAATTTCAGATGTTTCCACACTCCCACACTCTCGAGGCCGTTGCTGGCCCTGAGAAATTCCAATTACTCGCAAAGAAGAGTAAATATTTCCCCGCCTACAGCATGTCGTTGTAATTAACTGATCATACCTTCCCCGCAGCCCTTTCATAGCACTCCAAGGTCCCAAGCAGCAGTAAAGAATCCTTACTCCATCCTCGGCGTCGGTAAAACCGCATCCACCTCCGAGATCAAGAAGTCATACTACTCATTGGCAAAGAAATGGCACCCGGACCAGAACAAGGACCCCTCGGCGAGGGAAAGATTCCAAGAAGTTCAAGCAGCTTATGAGATCCTCTCGGACCCGGCGAAGAAGGAACAGTTCGACCAATATGGCGAAGCGGCATTCGATCCAGATAGTGGATTTAGTCCTGGCGCTGGAGCAGGGCCCGGCCAGGGAGGATTTAGCGGATTTAGCGGGGGCTTCACAGCAGACTTTTCGTTCGAGGACCTGTTTGGTTCGTTTGGTCGTAGCGGTGGGGGGCGCGGGAGTCGGGGTTTTACGGATGACACAATGCTTGGGGATAATATTGAAGTATGTTATGGAAGAACTTTGTTCTCCCCACTTACCAACATCCGGAGGAGTGGTTGGCTAAAGCAAGAAAAAACAGATAGAAGTAACAATCTCATTCATGGAAGCTGCAAGTGGAACTTCAAAAGACATTCGCATCCACCCTCTTGTGCAGTGCAAAGCCTGTTCGGGCATGGGAGTGAAACCTGGCACGATGAAGAAGCAATGTTCCCTCTGTTACGGAACCGGTACCCGCGTGCACCACATGCAGGGTTTCCAGATGGCCTCGACCTGCGAGAGATGCAGAGGAACGGGGACAGTTACCCCTCGAGGCTCAGAGTGCGGGACCTGCAGTGGATCCGGCGTAACGAAGGAGGCCCGGACAATCACGATCGATATACCCGCCGGCGTGGACACCGGTATGAAAATGAGGGTGGACGGGGAGGGCGATGCCCCGCAGGCCAATATCCATAGCTCTTCGCCCTCTGGGAAGAAGAGGGGGAACTTGTTCGTTCATATTCGGGTTACGCCGCATAAGGAGTTTAGTAGGAAGGGCTCGGATATCTACTACACTGCTACGATACCATTTACAACCGCCCTCTTGGGAGGTCAGACCAAGATCCCAACACTAGACGGTCATGTGGACATTAAGGTTCCCATGGGCACAAACACCGGGGACATGATAGCTATCAGTGGAAAAGGTATGCCAGGGCCCAATTCCCCCGGACGTATTGGGGACCTGAAGGTTGAATTCAAGCTCAATCCTCCAAGGTAGGCCCCTCAGCCCTTGCAATCTCTACTGCCACCAGAAACTAACAAACCCTCTACAGAACCCTAACCCCCCGCCAAAGAATCCTTCTAGAAATGCTCGCCGACGAGTTCAAGGACAAGAATGCCAGGAGGATAATGAATGTTAATTCTAAAAAGTATAACCCTACCACTACTGCCACCCAGGTACTTATATTAACCAAGCATCAATCTCCAGTGACGGAGCCTCCTACTACGAAGAGCACAAGAACGAAGGCTTCCTAAAACGTGCTTGGCACAACCTTACTCACCAGCACGACGACATGCCGAAAGACGATGACGACCAGAATAAAAAGGCTTCCGGATCCGGTTAAGTTATAACAATTTTTCAATAGGTGGAAGACGGGGGGTATAAATCTCGGGGCCAAAAAATCTAGTGGAGAAAAGGGGGGTTTACATGTTTTTGTTTGTTTTTTTGTTTTCCTACCTCTTTCCTTATGTTATGGATCTTTCTCCCTATTCCTACCATGTTCGCACGTACCCCCCCCCCCCCCTTTTGGCAGTCACAGCAGCGACGATGGCGAGCACGAGGTGTTCATATTATAACTTAGAATCTTCTTTCATTTCTTACGACGTTATTTCTGTTACTGTTAAATCTCAACAGTACCGGTGTACAATCTTGTATAGTTTACTCCGCTACTTTTAGTCTAGCCTACTTATTAGTCTGTATCATAAGGGTGCGGGGGAGGGGGGAGTTCTCTCATTCATTTGCACCCGTAGTAGGTCTGTGTCCCTACTATGGGAGTCTTTAGCCATTATTATAGATTAAGCCTTGCGGGTTGTGCGGTATTGCCATATCACGACGTTGTGGACGAGGTTTTGTGCACCGCACAGTACAGTACGAGCACTGTATAATAGTCTACAATACAGCGCATAACCGAACTACGAGAACACAAAACGACAGACCACCAACAAACCTATTAATTAATTAATTATTCTGATGCCGGCACGACACCGAGCACCACGCCCCTCCCCCTCGGAGAAGATATCCTACCAGTACGATCACTGTAATACTACCCTTAACCCGAACGGTGAATATACTAGTACACAAGGTAGAGTCCTGTCAACTGATCAACCCGTCGCTACTCAAGGCTCTAGTCCAACCCACCATCCCCCCAATCGCAAATCCTTGTCGATTCCGGGAGTGACCATTGATGATGTACGAGTACTGTAGAGCATGAGTACGGTACATTACCATGATTATGGTTAGTCTACCTAGCTCAATTGTCCATTGGTGACGTCTAAAGTGTGGGCTGTGCAGTGCGGTATGGTATTATAACTACTCGTGTCTCCGAGCCAAGAATGGGCACCTGATTGGGAATAATGCGGTGGTCTTGTGCGCGCGGCTTTTTAGGTGCGGTTGATATGTTATGTGACTTGACGAGAGGGTAAGGGATTCGAATGGTATAGTACTGTACAGTACTCTACAGTGATTGATTTGAGGATACCGGTAGTGTTATCATACTTGTGTGTTATGGACTGACTACGAAAAATGGCCATTTTCAATTTTTTGATAGTCTACAGTACGAGTATCATAGCTACTGTATCACAGGGCTCGACATTGTAAATGACATTTTGAGCCTCAAGCATCCATCCATCCTTCAACACTCCAACTCACCGCTCCCACAACCACACACACACTCGCACTTAACCACCACAAATGCCGGATGACAAAAAGAACGCCTACGGCACCGAAACCGGCGGCGATACCGTATCTCCCCACCCCCTTCCTTCCCTTTCCACCCAACAATTCTAACCTAACTTACCCAGAACTTCCGCCGAACTTGGGACCGCGAAGAATGGACCGCGAAAGCGCGAGAGCGCGAATCCCAAGACCGTGCCACCTCGAAGCTCCACCAGGAGGCCAAGCTCGCGGGAAAGAAATTCCACCGACCACCCACGCCTCCGGATGCCAACAGCACATCAGCGCGCGCCTCGCGACTGAACCTCGAGGAAAACGTGAACAAGACCACCCTGGTCCCAGCGGGCGCGGGTGTGGGCAAGAGAGGGAAGGGAGCCGGGTTTTACTGTGAGGCCTGCGATCTCACGTTCAAGGACTCACTGCAATGGGTGGACCACCTTAATTCCAAGCAGCACTTGCACGCTGTTGGCGAGAGGGATGAGGTTGCCATTGCTACACTGGAGATGGTTGTTGAGAGGTTGGCGTGGCTGAAGCGGAGGAGGGAAGAGGAGGGGAGGGAAGGGGAGGTGGATCTAGCGAAGAGGTTGGCGGAGAGGGCACGCGCAGAAGAGGAGGAGAGGGTGCAGAGGAGGGAGAAGAGGAAGCTTGCTAGGCGGGAGAGGAAGGAAAGGGAGAGGAAGTTGGGGAACGAACGGGGTTTTGGGGGTGGGGATAGCGAAAAGGCGGAAGGAGGTGGCGAGGAGGAGGATGATCCGGATGCAGTTGCTATGGCTAGGATGATGGGATTCACAGGTGGATTTGGGACCACGAAGAAGAGGAGTTGAAGTAATAATGCCCTCGGGGGAGCCGCTTTCCCACCCTGCTCATGGGCCTCTCCGCCCCTGAGACCACAACCTGCATGTCAAGTTTACGGAGTTATGGAGTACTTTTTCTTTTTCTTTTGCGATCAACCCTTCAGACTGCACCAACACTTCAACATCACTACCTTTTCTCAATCTGCTTTCCACCGTAATCTCAGGCAACTCCATCATCCAACCGAGTGACGACTTATGAACCCAGGACCTAACCCCTCATCACAGCGCACAGCACCACTCGATTTCACAATTTAAAAAACTTATATTATATCGTATGGACTCAAGAAAGACATATCATGGTGTCAGATGTCACGCAGCATCAAGCATCAACCTACCGGGTAACATGGAAAGAGAACCTGCAAGAAAATAAAATGGAAAAGCTCGCGTACTCCATAAAACATTCACAACCCCTAAGACTCATCCGTCTGCTGCTCATCCTTCCTCTGCTCGATAACAAGGTTCTTGCCCTCAACACGTTTGTAGATATCCTTGACATCATCGGTGCAGGTCTCAAAATGTGTAGAAGCATCATAGCTCTTTGAGATGTATACGTGATCCTTGGTACCATCCTCAACAGGCTCAAAGAGGTCGACAACCTGGATGAACCTACAAAATGTTAATACTCGGGTCAAATAAAACAAGAGATAAAGGAAAAGAAAAATTTGGGGGAAGGGGGAGAATGAAGGAAGGAGACTCACTTCTCCTCATCCCTGCCTAGGCGGCCAGAACCCAGCCCTAGACGCTCAAATCCAGGCTCCAGTTCTGCATGAGGGTTCCCGGAATCTGGGCTTTCGAGGACGGTTGAGACACTGGCAAGGTAGAATCCCTTGGGGCAGACGTTAAATGTTGAGGAAACCAATGAGATGTAGATGTCGTTCTTCCTCCCAGTTTGGCTTGCAGGAATAATGATCTGTGCTGAGTCGGCGTTCTCGGTGCCTTCGATAGGGTGAGTGAGGATGCAAATGGCACGAATCAACTTTCCAACTCGACGGATCCTTTTGTCCTCTCCAAGGAAGTAACTGGGGTCGGCAATAACTTTCTTGGTCTTGACGGTGACCACCTCCTTGGTGTTGGGGTGGGGGAACTTGACTCCACAAACAACGCCGGAATCGTCAAACAGGATCTCCTGCAGGGGAGTGTTCAGAGCATATGTTCCACCATAGACGGCGGACAGGAAAGAGAATCTCTCCGGAAGCTCGCCTAACCCGTGAAGCGGGAAGATGTAGGGGGATTTTCCGAAACGAGCCATGGACCTAACGTAGAGGATGATGCGCTCAATAGGCTCCCGAGCCGGCCTATCGAGATAAGAATCATCGACATATAAAGCCATGGCGTGGCCAATGAACTCTGAGGTCCATGCATCGAGGCCAAAGATTTTGTACGCCTCCCTCATGGTGTTCTGGTCAAGATTGAGGCCTAAATCCATGGTTATCAGAGGGTAGCTCTTTGTGGCACTAAGACTAACGAGTGAAACACACCCTTCTTATGAGTCGACCTGTCATCCTCCTTGTAATTGGCAATGAACTGCAAGAAATTTTGCATATAAAACTTCTGGAAATTGGAGACCAAAGACGACGTCACAGCCTCCACTCTGGTGGAAGGGACTCTATAAGGCACGCCGCCCTTCACGACGTAGCTCCCACCGACCTGGAGAAGATCTATGTAACGGGTGACGCCGGTCTTGTGGAGGACGTTGGTTAACTCGCCGTCGGCCATCAGGAACTTTGGCACCAAGGAGATGTGCCACTGGTTCCATTCACTCGGCTTCTTTCCGAAGGCGGCAGGAGGCTCCGGGCCAGCAGGAGTGGCACTAGCACCAACCTGCTTTCCCTCCTCTTCGGCCTTTGCTCTCTCGGCCTCAACCCTTCGCTGCTCATCGGACCACCTGAACTTCTTCCACATCTGTAAGCAAGAGGTTAGCATGCTACAACTCGGCCGTTTCAATTCAGCAATTGTGTAACTACCTCCATCACGTTCAAGCTGGCACTCTCACTATAGACAAGATTAGCAATCAGTTGAAAGATACAAGTTTTAGTGACGAGGAACCACTTGCCTTCCATAGTAGGAGTTCTGGTCAATGTTGAGGACCTTCTTCCCTTCGGCTCCGAAGACACTGCAAATGAGGGTCAGTAACCAGAAGAAAGAAAGGCAGATAGCAGTAAAGCTTGTTGATGGATTATCATACCCAGAGAGAATACATTCGGTCAAACCTAACGAACAGAGAGGGCAATGAATCAGCTTCGAGGCAACAGACAAGGGTAGCCACAGGGTCCATCAAACCGACCAGTGCCGACAATGACAGCGTCGTATTCTTCGTTAAAGTCACCCATGATTCAATATTCAGAAAGGAAAAGTGTCCCAAATATGGTCTCTTCAGTTGGTACGGGGGGGGGGGCAATTGTTGTTGTTGTTGCTGCTAAGGGTAGGAGGAAGTGAGAAATAGGGGGGGGGGGGTTGGGTGGGAAAGAGGCAGAGGAAGCAGAGGCGGGGTTCGTCGTTGTTGTTGCAGGCCCGACTGGGATGTGGCCATCCACGTTGACGCTTCCTTAGTCAGTCAGCTGGACCGGCCCTTAACTTAATTTAAGGTGGAAAATAGTTGCGGCTCTCTTCACTACTCGTACAAGTATAAGCACGGACCGCCCACTGCCATAATAATGATAAAAACCACCAAATTCTACCTGTGCTGAGTCCCTGCCCGCACATGTATGATGCCAACTACAGTCTAAGCGTTATCGTACCGCTCCCAATGGGATCTGCCACGATAGCAACCGCGTTGAATTCTACTCCACTGAGGTGATAAAGTGTTGATTAGACAACTGACTCAGGTTCCGAATTGTGGCCTTTTCTCTTCTGAATATTCAGGGAGAGAGGAAGGGTACTCCCGTATTCACCGAGGGCATAATAATGTCAACGGAGCCAAAAATGTACCATGGCTCTCTCCCACAATCGTTCCCCACCCTGAATTTGTGAAGCTACAGGCATTAGACAACTTCTGCTGCCGGCCCAAGAGCTATCTATCACCAAGGCAAGATGTCAGGAAGGGAATACTGCAATTGGAAGGGGGGGCACTGATCTTTTTTTTTTTGCTTCTTCGTTTTCAACAAAAAAAAACCGGTCACCACCATATATTCGGCAAAGCGTAATTCATGTATGTAACTTATCACACCTTTGCTTCCTCCCCAGTCAGAAGGGACAATGCGGGATGCCACTTTTGAAGGGGTGGTTCCTATCCTCCAATCCGGATACATACATAGCGAGTGCATCTCTTTCAGAGCAACGTTGAAGCGCAACATGTACCGTACTAGTACGGTACAGTGCCAGTACGGTGGTCGAGGATAGTACGAGTACGGTACTCGAGTAGTAGTAGTGTATCTTGCTTCCCGCTTTTTACAACCGTCTCCTTGCCGACCCCGCACTCCCTGGTACGGTACAGATCATAACAAAGCTGGGATTAAAAAAACAAAGCAATCAATCAATCAATCAAAAGACCCAGTAAGACGCCTCCTGGAAAACTGTACTCGAGTATATAAAGGCTCTGATGCACTCACTGGCCTCGTAAAATCGATAAAGAAAACCCCCAGAAGCAAAAATACCACCCCCCGATACAAGAAAGAAAAAAACTCGACCGCCCTCATGAGCTCCACCGAGAAAACTTACGAAGGATCTTGCCATTGCAAGAACGTCAAGTTCAGCGTGACCCTAGCGACCCCCCTCGAAGAGCAAAAGCTTATCAGCTGCAACTGCTCTCTCTGCTCGGACCGTGGTTTTCTCATCTTCTTCGCCACGGGAGACCAGGTCACGGTCGAGGGCGAGGAACACCTCATCCCCTATTCCTTCAACAAGCATATCATCCGTTACCACTTCTGCAAGGGCTGCGGGTCCAGCTTGTTCGGGCATGACGAGGGCAAGACGCAGTATGGGATCAACGTATGAAGCCCCCCCCCCCCCTTCTTGAGATGGCTACCGCTGAGACTGAGTGGTATTATAAGGCGCGATCCCTCGACGGTGTCGACTTGGACAAGTTGAATCCGATCAAGTACGATGGTGCCTCTCTTTAAGGCTTGATTGAAGAGATGCTACCGGTAGTTGCCGGCAAAGGGTATCATATGGTACCGGTTATGTGATTCTCGTAGTGTATGAAATTTATGGATTCTTTGGGGAGGTATCATAGGAAAAATCAGTTTTCCCTAAGATGATAGATAGTCTAGCCGTTCCATCCAATTCCAAGCTCTATGATACTGGGAGCTGTAACGAGTAAAAAAGAAATCAATTGATTATATAACAACAATAGAAAGAAATACGGAAAGAAATGAGAAAACATTGATGCCCTACCGTGAGCGATAGAAATGGAGGAGGGAGCAGAATACTGGTGCAGTACTAGTAGAGCACATACGGAGGTATGATAATGCATTTGAAACTCTACCCAGTTACGCAATCGGCAGGAACTTTGGCACGGTCACTATTCTCACCATGATACGGTACTCCTCTCACTATTTTCCATGCATAGTGTCGGGGAACCAAAACCTGCCCTCCGCACAAAGTTCTTGGAAAATCCGAACATACTAGATTAACCTTCGGGAAACAGCTTTGGCAATAATTCCTCTGGTAATTTTGCAAATAACTCCTCTTAAAAACATCTAATAATTGCCATCTCATTTTTACCTCATCAATGCATTTAAAATTAAAGATTGGTATCATGTCAGAGGAAAGGCTACCATATTTGATAAGGCTGTGCAACAACCCCATCCTTGACTCAAACCACTACAACAACCTCCTGCATGACCTCAGGTGAAAACCAAAACCATATACCAGCTCTAATTCATTCTTTAAACAACTTTGCTGGAGGAATCTGCAGTATACCTTCTGAAGGAGAGGCTATTGGCGATTTAGAAATTTTGGGCCCAGGTGGCGGGGGCAGGTTTTGGTTGACCGGAACCATACCCTGTACTGTACCCGCCCCCTACCCCAAACAAAAAAACAAAGAATGGAACACACCTTCTACCGGTATTCCAAGAAGAACCCGAAAAAACCAACACTAGTCATGCCCAATCCAATCCACCACCACCTATCGGCATTGATGTTTTCGGCTTTCTTAAGATTACTGGGTAGGGCACGCTTAACCTTCAACTTTGAAGCTCCAGTAGCCTTTGGAGCGCCAGTGGCAGGATTGAGGGTCTGCGTGGGGAGCATTTGTGGGGGGCGGTATGCAAGGTACCTATGTTAGAGCTGGTTAGATGTTGGATTTCAGGGCAAAGGGGATGGCCATACATCGGATTCATCGGGGCCCCGTCAAATTTATAAAGATTAAGTCGGCTCATTCCACGGTATTCGTCGACGAGAACCTCCCACCTCTGGAAGACCGGTCCTGTTAGGGGTTCTGTCCCGAAAGGATAAGAGGTAAACTACGCCTACCTTGAAGACTTCCGTCTTGTTGAACCTTGTGTAAATCGAGGTGGAATGCTTGCACGGATCCGAATACAACTGCCTACCATCCACCACGACCGGATGTAGCACCATCGAGCCATTCTCCGCAATTAGATATCTGCCGTGCTGCCACTGCAACACCCCTTTCGTGCATGAAGGGTTCGTAGCTGGCCATCCGGGACTTGTCAGCGTACCGGAAGAAGGGCTAAACGAAAGGTAACCCCTGGTATCTTGGGGGGAAACCCACGATTGGCGACGGCAAGATAAACCGCTGTTTCATAGAATCCATCATCCGTGAACGAATAGGATGTACCCGTGAGCGCGGGCTCAAAAAATTTCTCGCTTGCAGGGTCGTAAAAGCTCTATCCCCCCTCCTCCTCGGTCAGCGTCGCTCAAGGTAGGCGCCCCGCGTCGGACACTCAAGGGGATAACTTGATAATAATGGTGAAAGGCGGTTACTTGCCGGTCCAGTGAAGACTGCATTTGATTTGGATGACCAAGTACCCGTGATGGACGTCACATTATTCTGGGCGGATACGAAGGGAAGCGCGAGAAGGGCTACGGCCAGCGAAGTTAGCGACAGCGAAGGAAGCATGGCTTACACGTGCTGCGCGTTTAATTTGAGCACGGTACGAGGGAGCGTCAGAAGCTTGTCTTAATGGTCGAAAGGGGAGCCGATCTCGAGGAGGATGAAGTGAGGGGCTGTGATCAATATTTTGAGCACATCCCAAATTGGTGGTTCGGAGGATTGCCCTCTGTCCAATCTTGTTGACGCTTGCGCCATCTCAGGGGCAGCGCATGCTTTATTTGTTTGTGAAACCTTGTTTACTTGGCAAAGCACGACGGCTTGATTCCCGTTATTTTCATTTTTTCAATTTCGTATCGAAGACATTGTGCGAGTACCGGTACCGTACTATACTGTACAGTACTCACATGTGTGGTAGGGTATGGAGAACCTACATGGCTCATCGTTGGATGATCTCGGTGATCATTGGCGTCTCTTGGCGCGATATGATGCACTTTGTGATGAGATTCAACTTCTCACTGCTGTAGCGCAGCAGTGAGGTTTGGTCACCCATCCTCTCACTATCCTTCCACTCCCCGCTGCACCTGAAGCCTATCTTTGTTCCACTTTTGATACTTTATTCTTTTGTGTTTTCCACTAGATATCATTACACTTGACGTGCCAGACTAGGTTTGGATGCCATTTTCGGCCTTTATCACCTCCCGGTGTCGTTCGTATGCTTCGTCTGGGAGGCTGGTAAACCCGCGGAGGTGTGGTATTCTCGAGTGAGTTATCAGATACCGAGACAAGGCAGCATAGAATGGGCTGATCATCTTCGGGGAACAGGTTCGTATAGCAGGGTGGGGATAGGCGATGCTAGTAGTCCTGTTTGATGGTGGTTAAGTTAAAGGATTGAAAAAACCACATGTCTCAGCAACATGCTACATGTACCTGGGTATCAAGAAGTTGCACAATGGGTCTTACCACGACCGGTAAAGTACTAGTGACCTTAAGAGTATAGGCATCTACGACGCCTTTCACAAGGTAACAGCAATGCCATAGGCTATTGTGGGAGAAATGGGGAATTTGTATCAACGGATATCTTTGAAAAAAGCAACTAGGAATGAGCTACTCATTCCTATTCGCTACTACATCAGGAAGAACTTGCTCTCTGTCGGAGTAAACTTACCATTGGTCTTGGCAAAATTGGCGTCAAATCGAGCCGCGAGGTCTCCAGCCTCCTACCGTATTACCTGGTTTAACTGGAAATGGCGCTAAGGCCAAGTGATCGACATGAGTCACAAAAAGAGGGGGTGGCAAATTAAGCGAATATCAAGCCTGAGGCGAGTGATAAGCTATGATGGCGTAGGCAGCCGGTGTAAGGGAATGTTTTGGTGATTTCTCTAAAGGGTTAGAGCTCAAGCTTTCCCACTTGATATTGACCACTTGCCATGCCTTATTGAAGGTGAAATTAGTAGGTAGTTTGCTGTACCTGAACATTCTCTTTTCAATCTCGGTCAACATATTCTACTGCTACATCAGAGGGCTCATCCACCGGCCCAGCCAACCCAGAATCTAAAGCTGGAACTTCCTCATTCTCCCCATCATATCCCCCTTCCCTCCAGTCACCAATCTGCACAAGTGAAGAATCTATCCCCTTGATTGACAGCTCATCATCACAAGAGCCGTCAATAGGAAGCGTAAGTCCTAGTTTGCGAAATGTAACTATGACCAACTCCTTATAGGCTTGGCTGCTGGTAAACTGTTCCCAGGCCTGGCCAACTGCATGGGTAACAAGTATCCTCCGCTCCCCAATTGCAGACGTATCTAGGCGGTGAAGTTCGCGCAAATCAAGCTGGTGTTGAGCTTCGTAGTCATT